CACATTTTCAGATGTTACTGTATAAATTTAGAGAAACAAACAAATTTTAATTGAGACATTTTCTCTGATTCAATCAGAACTATGCAGTAATTTTTCATTCATTGTCTTGTGGTTATACATAATTTTTTTTTTTTGTCTTTGGATATTAAGAAGGGACTATTTATAAGCATTAAAATCAAATATTGTTTACAACCTGTAAATTTCAAAGGCTGATTAAGTTCCACAAAAGCCGCCCTTCCCTAACCACAGAAAGACACTAATGTTAAAAGGGGACTCTCCCATATTGGCCATCTCAATAAATAATTTATACAAAGCCTTAGATACTTTTGATATTTAAAACAACAAAAATCGTACAAATCTTGAAAGAAATTCCGTTTATAGTTATTTAATTTGCAAAAAGTATACATGTGTGCATGGTTGTTGAATTGGGATGTGTCTCTTTCTTAAATATTTCTTCGTAATGTTTATTTTTTAAAGAGACTTCACAAGTTTTCTCTTTCTTTCTAGAGTAAAAAAATGGTGTTAAAAAAATACTTTTACAATATGTGTTCCATAAATGTTTGGCTGTATACTGCAAAATTACATTTTTTTTTAGATTCCTTAGTAATATGATCGCATTCTTGACTTTTAGTATATTATAGAAATTGGACCCCCCACTAACAAATTATAAGATCTTCTCCACTACCAAAAAGGGTTGGCTACCATCAATCAGGTCAGATTTATAAAAATATTCTTCGTACGAAAAGAAATTGTAATCATATATATGTACTTATGTGTTGTCGTATTTTTTTATATTTGGCTTCTAGAATCGTTATGTGATGTAAACGAATTTTTCTGACCGTAAGTAAACACGCCAAGATATGAATAAACACATGGAAAATTACAACGCACATTTGCTAATTTCTCTAGATTTGTACTGATTTTTAATAAGCATAAGTGTATATTTCCATGGTGTTCGTGACGTTTGAAAGGAAGAGTTGTTTCTTTCCAAAGGAAGAGGTATATACTATATACAGGTAGAATAAAACTGGTAAAGTGAAAAATAGAAGACAAATAAAATCCAGATATAACATAGAAGAGAGAACAAGCCGTCGAGATTCTTGAAATCATTCGCTTCGAACCAGAAATTTATTCGTATTTGTGTTGTGTGTATAGTTTTCTAGGCGATGCATGAGAAAACGTGCATAACTTATTATTAATCGGAAAATTCGAACTTTTTGTTTGAACCATTTCTAAGGAAAATTCGAACTTGACATTTTTTTTATCAGATTAAACAAAACGGACTATCCATTCATTCTAGAGTAACCTTTTAACACAACAACCTTGTAATTTTGTAAAAGGTTTGAATCGAAGTTTTTTATCACCAAAAATTGAAATACTTAATAGGCTGAACTATTGTCACTAAATTCATTCTAAGAGTATTTTAATAAGTAATGTAAACGTCGACATGTGAAATTTTTATACGGACACTTGTTGTCCTTTATTCTGTCCATCCATTTTAAAACTATTATTTGAACTTTTAATATGTCCGACAACGCCGCCATGCTTGTAAGAACATTTAAAAATAAAGTAAAGCGCATTCTTCTACTTATATATATGAACAATCTTTTTTTTTTTTTGTAAAGAAATAAAATTAGAAATCAATTGCACCAGCTGGGAATATATGAACAATTTTAAGCAACTAAAAACGAGTGAGAGGAAAAGTTAATTAGTTCGTCAATGAGTGAGGAGAATCAAGGCAAAGGCAACATCGCCATCAACTTAACCACTCACTCTTTCTATGTCGTCTGTCATCGTTATCATTTCTTATCTTAATGTTTTTATTAGGGCTCACATAAGTTTAGTCCCAAAAAAACATTTTATATCTCACTCACATTAGATATTTTCGCCTAATTAAACTATATTATTGATTCAAAAAAATGTTTTAGTCAACATTTTTTTTTTTGGCTTACATAGTTTTTATCACAATTTATATAGACATACAATATCAAATGAAATCATGTTTATAATTTTATTTTGGTTTTTAAATTAATGATTTCATACATTTGCGTTATTTGGTTTAACCACTGGTTGTAGCCAGTAGTAAAGAATATTTTGATAAAAAAAAAAGTAGTAAAGAATAATATCTTTTTGTGAGAAAATTATATTGAAACTTCAATAAGCAATTTTTTTGTAATGACTAGAGGTCGAACAATTGCTTTATCGGAAAAGGAAAGAAAAACGTCTATTACAATGGACAAACCAGAAAGAAACAAATAACTGTCTCTTGATTTTTTCTTCATTTTCTTCTTTGCAACAAAACAAAGAAATAGCTGTAATTCGTGCTATACACTTTGTAGTCAGACAGAATATCCCATAGTTTTGAATATTCGTTCTATATATTGAAAGTGTGTGTGTACTGTATGCAGCCATATAATGACATGTTGAAAAGTAAAAAGGTTGGGTTTTTTTTTTTATTATTAATTTGGTTGGTTCCCACACGCAGGGAAGTCCTTTGAAGGGCCTACCACAGTCTCCGACTGCAGTATTCAATTTATTCTGCACAGAAAACTATATTCTGTATTTAAGAAACAATTTCTTATAATTAATCACAGAGAAATACATTTTGTACACTAGTACAATATTTAAAGTTTAATAAAAATGTCATTTTAATGTTTTTCATAAATATTAAAAAGATTACTATAATATTTATTTTACACTTTATCGATATATTAAATATATTTTTCCTTTAATTTTGATATAATAAGGTTAAAACCAAAATTTTGTTTTTGTATTAAATAAAATAATATTTTTTGTGAAAAAGAGAGTATTATTATAGTAAGAAAAAAGGGAACAACAGTGAAAGGAAACTAAAAAAGCTTGAAGGCCATTGATTCATAATGATGACAAGCAAAAAGTCAAGCAATCTCTATATTACAATATCAATCAACATCACGGTTATTATTTTATTATGATACTTAGGAGTATTAAATCATTAAAAACTAACGTACCAAGAGATGTCTTTCTTTATTAAGTTCCAAGTAAACAACGACAAAAAAGGAAGTTCCAAGTAAACATGGACTTCAATTCACCGGAATACAAAAGCCGTTACTTTATCATACATATATAACAACAGGTATTAGAAATTCACCACACCTTTGTACGATCGTGTTGCATGTGAGCACATGATTATTATTTGACATTTTAAAGCATACAGAGTCCCACGGATTGATTTACGTTTAATGAATGTATACATAATGATTTATGGGGGTTCTAATATATGTTTTCTAAATTATCAATATACTTTAAAAGATTCCTAACGCATTCAAACACAGATATCAGAATTTCTATTATTTTGTTTATTAGCTTTCTAACACTTTAAAATAAAAGCTCTACGATTTTTACTCTCTCTCTAGTTAGGTAAACTAAATTTAATAAAAATGAAAATCTGAATTATGCCAAAGTTTTCATATGAAAAGAGAATATGATAATTTTGTGAAATTCTTTAGCCACATTAAAAATTATCAAATGTAGTATCATGTTTCAATATAAGTCTCTTATATAAAACCTTAAACTTTTTTTTTTTGGTAGGTTCGGAATGATTTATTTATGTTTAGACAGTTAGTCGTATCATTTATACTCAACCTCGATTCGGAGAAAAGAAAAGCCTAAACCATTTTATTCCATGAAGAAAATCTAAGAAATTTCCAACGAACAACGTTGAATATTATAAGTGGAATTGCGTGAAAAGATTAAAAAGACAATACTAAATCATAAGTTCACAACACATATGTGGAAATGCACGAAAACGATTGATTAGTTGTGGGATAAACTATGGCCAATTCCAGGACTATGACCGGGCGTTGTAGGTCTGAAATCTTCTGCCCCTTTACCTTCTGGTGGTGGCGGCGATGACGGTAGAGATGGTGGTGGTGAGAGCTGCACCGCCTTTTCATTAACCATCTGATCATTGTGCTCCACCTTAATCGTCTTGTTATCACCATGACCAACATTCATCTTATTATCAACTTTTATGTCTTCTAGGGTTCGTCCATGGACGCGACTAAAACCTAGAAAAAATACCGTCATTAAGAAAGCGCAAGCGTACAATGTTTTCTTTTGACCCATAGACGATTCCATTAGGGGAAAAAAAAACGGGAGCTATAAAGAAAACAGAAAAAGGAAAGAAAAAAAAAACTAAATGTCTTTGCTATACAAGGGACTGAGAATATTTGAGAGTAGTGGTGTGAAGTAACACTTGCTTCTATGGGAGCATTTATATAGAGACTAAATGTACGTGCTTAATTATTGCAAATAAACTAATTAATTAAAGTCGATTTTGTTTACTAGTAAGTCTAGTATTATTACAAAGTAGATCGAACGCTATTATATTATTTTAAAAATACAGTGATTGGTGCACGAAAAACATGCAATTAATTAGTGGAAACGAAAAAAAAATACTTGAAGAGTGTATGTATATAATTCAAGAAGAAAAAATAGAAGACTGGCAAGTGTAAGCGGGAAGACAACCAAATTGAGCAAAAATAGAAATTTACGTGTCGGAAACAAAATTACAGATCATATAAATATCTTTTTTTTGAACAAATCATATATATATATATAATATATCTAATTGTATATCAAACAACAAAAAATGTAATTCAAAAAGACACAGCCGAAGCTTTTTTAGCTTTACAACCTTTAAAGTTGGTCCGACTCCGAATCAAAACCCTAGCGGTTCGGAGGCCATTCACTCTTACCTCTTTTTCTCGTCTACTTTTTTTATATAAATGTTAATAATAGTATTCCCCACTTTTTGTCTACCTCTCTACTTTCTTTCTTTTAAAATCTTTGTTGCTTCACTTGCAGCTTCGTATCACAGGTCAAATGAACGTCATAGAAGTCCCCATGGGCTTTCTCTAGGCCCATATCATTTGCATTGGCTTTAACTAAGGCCCATATCATTGCATTGGCTTTCACTTAGGGCTAAGGCCCATATCATCCGCACACTGTGCTACTAATTTTTTTATTGTTAAAACTATTTATTTCTTTTTTTTCGCGACTGTAAGTGCATCTGTGCAAAGTAATGTGTACATACAACAAATGCAAAATGAAAAAAATCGAAAACTTGAATGCTGTTCGGTTTAGTCCGGTTTGGTTTTAACCAAAGAGTTGCTGAATCACAGCCTCAGCGTTTCCATTGTATTGTGATAGAAGTTGAATTGCATCAGACCTCGGCAACGCCAGAAATTCCTGAAACCATCTCTTGTGGCTTTATTAATAAGCAAAAATCGAAGAAAAAAATATATACGAAATTTGATCCAAGGGATTTTGAAAAACGTACCATTACTTTAAGAATTGCACTCTCTTCCCATAAAGCTTCTCTCGACGAAGTCTGAGTCGTCATCATTAAGCTGCTGCTACCACCATCTTCGGAGGTCATGGTGCTCGAAGACGTCGTCGTGACTTGAGACGAAAAGTTTGTGTTGCTATCTTTGTTTGATCCTGATTTGATAGCACTCATCCAATCAGTGTTCACTTGCTTCAAAGAATCTATCTTCAGCAGATTACTGAACCGGTCTTTACACATCTGAAGCTTGAACCACTCGGTATGCGTGTGAAGCGTCGCTTTTATTATTTTCATAAGCTGCGGTTCTTTTATCCCGAGCCTTTTACCGACAGAAACCTTAAGAAACAAACAATCAGTTGCTTGTTGAGCTTTCCTCAGACAAGAAGACACATCCAAATTTTTTTTTAAACATTGTTGTTACCTGTAGCGTATTGGCCAGATCATTTAGAGGCAAATCTTTCCCAGGTGTGTTTCCGTCGGGTTGGAGTAAAACTAACAAAGTCTCCTTCAATGTCTTCAGTAAAGACTGGTCATTGGCGGCTAAGGGACCTAAGTGAGAGCACGCGACCTTTAGTGCTCCTTTGTGATCACCAGCACTCACCAGCTTTAGAAATTCAACCTGTGCATATATATAAACAAGTTTTATCTTCCCTTATCGAGCAAAAAGAAGAACATACAGAGAGCTTTAAGTTGTTCTTGCACTCTTACCTGCTTAAGATGGAAATGTAAACTTGGATTTTGTGTGAAAAAGTCTGGATCCATGGTGCTGATTTCGTGAACTGCTTCTGCTGCCATTCCTCTGCTAACCAATTCCTTTAGTGCCAAGGCTATCTCATACTTGTCCTCTAAAGGGTTTATGCCTGACTCAGACTTGGGACATGAAAGATCAGGAAGACAATCCATTTCATCAGCTCTCCCTCGCCATCTTTTGCGTTGCCTATTCCTCTCACAATTCATATGGGATCTAATTCTAAGGAGAGCTCTTGCATTTTCACATTGGTTTGACCAGCTAGTGCTGCAATCTTCACAACCGGTGTTTCGTTCACTGCCATAACGTGTGCCAGCGTCACCTCCTTGTTTGCTAGACATTTCAGTGTCAGTTAAGAGCGCGCCATCAAGTATGCTGTTGTTGCTATCGTTCTCAACATCTGAATGTTGACTTGTGTTGAGATCTATTTCAGAAGAACAGTCTCTTGATAAGCTGTGACCCACCTCCGGTTGGCTGCGTTTGGCAGGACCCATGATCATTTGCATCTCTGATTGGAGTTTAAAACGATCAGAATTCCATAAAAGCCACACACACAAAAAAGAGGGCGAATAATAAAACTGCCAAGAGGTTGATCACCAACCTGAATCCACAATACCCCTGTATATGCAGTACTCCTTGACAAGTTCATCAAGAACCGAAACATCTAATTGCATCCTGCACAATTCATTCTGCAATAAGTAGAAGCAAAAATTAGGCCGCAGTGCAGAGATATAAAATTACACGTAAGTAACATGTGGTAAAATATACAGCTTAAGCCCCAAAATAAAGGTGTTCGCAAGAGATCCCATTTAAACCAGCGTAGAGATGGTGAGGAGTGATAAGAATTGAGAATAACGCAGAAAAAGTATTAAGAAAAGGCAGAACGGATGATTTGAAACCTGGAATGCCTGGAAAAGGTCACCTTTGGCAAATTTCATGCTATCAACAGCCCCTTGTCTAGTAAGCTCAACCGCATGAGCAAGAGCCTGTATGTCCACCTGATATTTGATATTAAAAATCAGTACAATGCGTGCTGCAGATATAATCACACTTCGTTTACAAGATGACCAAGAAGCTAACTGCCACGTTACCTCATCAAAAGGTGGTGCTTCATATATGCTTTCCAGAGGAGTGGCTGGTGCGTCACGTTCCTCCAGGAGCAATCTATGGGTGAGATCAGAAACTGCGGAGGATGTTCCTTGGTGAAAGCAAAATCCTTTATGTATGCTGGTAAAAGGTAGAAGAACAAAGGCTTAACCCGAGTAAGCGAAAAAGAACAGAACAGATGCTAACAGTGTTAAAAACGAAACAAATAGCGTTACCTTATCAGATATCTTAGTGTCATTGAAAATACAGGATCGTATGCCTGTAAAGAAGCTCTCAAGACAGATGACATCAGTCCAGCCATTTCATACCTTCTTTTCTCTGCCCACTGTAGAACAGAAAGCGCATTCCTTATAATCCAAAATACAAATTCTGCATGATGTATAGCAGCAGTTCAAAAAAAAAAAGAAAAACATGTAGGACGTTCTGTGTCCGCAAGATTAAAGAACATCCTAAAAGAGAGAAAACCAATACCTCGTTTGCTACTGGGGAGGTTTGATCATTTTTATCATAAATGAGTGCAAGAAGGACATGCTTGAATTCCTCATAAGCTTCCTTAAAGATATATATATGCAGAGATCAGAACGTCATAGACAGAGAACCAGCCAAACAGTGTCTTATTGATAACTCAGAATAGAATTGAAAAGGAGAAAACCCAGTAGGATAGATAAACAAGAAGGTACTACCTAAACGCTATAATGGCGACAATAAATGTGGAGCCAAAAGATATAGATAAGTGTAGTAGTATGTCACAAGGGATGGAATATTCCAGTACCGGGTAGGCATCAAGAGCACATGGAGCAACAGAGGTCCTCAAGCAACTAATTGCAGCAACACGATCTTCATGTGTTCCTTTTCTCAGCATCTCAATAAATTTCTTCACAGAAACAAAGAGAAGAGAAGAATATTCGGTTTGAGTGAGATGAAATCGATGGGTAAATCAAATTTCCAGCAACCCTAAGAAACCAATACGGATGTGATACTATCCTAGCCGGCTGCAGCTTTGGCAGGCATTAGAGCAGAAGACTCACCTGTTTCTGCAGGCGAAACAGAATACGATGATCATCGAGGACAAAAGGAGCGTGGGAGCGAAGGATATCGATGGCGTTCTCAATGTCACCGGATTCAATCGAGTTTCGGATCCGGCGGATGATCAATCTAGCGTGGTAAGACGAAGAGGATATAGAAGGAGAGGAAGAAGAAGAAGGAGACGAAACTGGGGAAGGAGATGAAATCGCGCAGGCGTCTTCTTCAACCACCAGGTTTTCGGAGGAAACGAAATCGATGATCAGAGCATCAAGCGCTTCCCAATTCACGGGTGTAGAATCCATCGGTGTTTCCATCGCTTTCGATCTTCGACCTCAATCCGGTGAGCAAATCAGCAATCTCGGAGTCGCTGCGTGTGGTGGATCGGTGGGTGAATTTTGTTTCCCAGAAAGAAGAAACGACAAGTGAAGAAGGCCATTCATCGTCGTGAGGGTTACCTGTAGAGAAAAAAACCCACAAAAGAAATGCCACGTGGCGGTATCGGCGGTGAAAATATATGAAGAAGGCTCACAGTATTTTTACTTGAGCTTAATAAATAAAAGCCCAATCGCTTTATCAGCTGATACTGTATCTCCAATTTTGATTGTTCATATGAATTAATATTTATTCGACATATATAAAAACAACATCTGATCAATTCTTATTAGCCGTTGTTTCTCTTTGTGGAGAAAAAGGAGCTTACTAAATTGGAGATTTATGCTTGACAAAATTAATAAATTCAAAGTTTCAAATCTGTTATTCTAATTCCCATTAGAGTGGTTTGATGAAGTCAAGGATTCTGTTTACAAAATTGTATTTATAACGACAAACAAAAAAAATTCTGACACAATTTTAATCACATTTTACATTTTCATTATTCATTTATACTAATAAATCTAATATAAATTTGAGGAGGAAACATATCCTTCAAAAATAAAGAGAGATGGCTCGATGAGTGTAGAAGTTTGAGGCTGAATTTGTAGCAGCCATTATTCATTACTTGCGACGCTAATTTGGTTTGAAGCAGCTGTGCTTTCTTAGTCACTGTGTCGAATGCTATGATGCTTTCGTCGATTCTTAACCAGTAAAGAATTCTTGGTCCAAGTAAACAGCTCTCATACCCTTCACCAGCTCGCTTGAGTCGCAAGTAATAAAGTTCCAGTGCGAGTCTCTTGATACATAGTTTTTGACTCCTCCTTCACCTAACGAGTCGATACTTCTTTGTGAAAGGGTTTACAAGTTACAACGAATAGTTCCGCAGTGAGGAAGAGTAGAAGAAGGCCAGAGCATATGAAAAAGACCTAGTCGATTCTATTTTCCATCCGCTTCCTACCATCTCTACTTCTTCTCCCAATTGTTTTCACTCTAATGTAACTCATATCATGACATTCTTAATTAGGGTTATTTTATTACATAGCAAAACGATTTTTAACTCTTCGTCACCCCATGCCATTACTTTCGAAACCATCTAATCACTCGCTGCATTATACGGGAAAACTGTACTTATTTTTTAAAAAATTTGACTTATTTCTGAATCTCTGGTGCATTAAGCAGTATATAGAGATAATGCAGTCAACGAGAGAGAAGTTGAAGTCGAATGGTAATAACTAGTGGCAAATCGACAGATAAGAGACATATAAAGACCAAGACAAAAGACATATGCGTTACTTCAATTTTAAAAACTGAAAATTAAATTTTCTGAACTACTCACACTCTTTTGTGTTTTTTTCTTCTTTTCTTTTTTACACCCAAAGAACCTACTTCCATTCCAAAGACAGATCTAATACTGATCACCCTTCGAAACAAAAGCAAAAACTCACAAGATCGATGAAACATGAGTAGTGGAAAAGAGTTAATGAAATAATCCATCTCCATCAACAACACATCTTTCAAAAATAACTTTCCAGATCTAAGATTAACATAAATCTAAAATTAAAATAAATAAATCTGCAAGCAACCATGTTCCTAGCTAAAATAAAAAACAAATCGAAAGCTTATTTTTAGCTCTACATACTCTTCTTCATGTCCCTGCAACTTGACCCTTCTCTTCCACCCAATGCTTCCTGAAAACCCAAAATTTCGAAGGAGAAAAAATTGCATTAACCCATTTAAGAAATATATAATATTACATAACTTTCAACAATATACTCAGATATGAAGAATATGGAAGTTTTGACAAAACCCAGATCAGAGAAAGTAGTACCTGAGATTGTTTGTTGTTAATCATATGAACAAATCGTTCTTCGTTGTTCTTTGACCCAACATGTGTCCTCTTAAGGCCCAGAAGCCCTTTCCACCTCCCCTTAGAGGAAGAAGAAGAAGAAGAGAAGATCGGTGGCTTGAGAGAGAAGATACCGGCAGCATCACGAGGACTTTCTTCTTCTTCGTCTTCTTCAACGAGAAGCTCTTCTCTCAGTGTTCGCTGGACTTGATTGGTTTCTTTGAAAGGCAAAAGCTTTCCTTTGGAGAAAAGTTCATCAGCAGGCATCATTGTGTAGTTGGAGACAGAGAACTCGAAATTATCAGAAGCTGAGTTAGAACCCTCTGGTTTGGATAGAGGGCTTGACCTCGTCGTCTTCGTCGTCTCAGGCCTAATCTCAACGAAATCATTAGAGAAAGAGATTCTAGGACTCATGGGAGTACCACCACCACCATTGGAGTTGTACATTTCTAAGCATGCCATTAGAGACAGAGCTCGTTTGTGTCGAATTATAAAATCACTCTAAAGAGACTTTTGGGGAGAGAGAGAGAGGAGAGAGAAATTTAATTCTGGTAGGGACAGTCAATTGCACAGAGAAGCCTTGTGCAGTATTATATAGTACCCCAATACTCATTTAGTTCTTATGCACAAAGGATCAATGATAAAGCCATAATAACCAAAATAGTAGTATATAGTAATATATTTTTTTAAAAGGGAAAGGAATTTAGAAGAAAAGTTTAGTCGATACTGTTATGAACAAAAAGAAACATTTAAAAAAAAAAAAATAGATGTTACTGTTAGGAAGGAAAATATTAATTGGGTATATTTTTTTTGTATGGGATAAGTTATTTACCGTTTGGATAAATGTTCAAATTTTATCATCAAACCAATCTGTACAGTACACTGAAAGTAATTACTCGAGCTGGTGATGTCTTGTACACGTGTCAATTAGCTGTTTGGCTATTGGAATTTGGACAAAAATAGGCCCAAGAATTTCTGCTGAGACACGCTCCGACACAGTTGCTAAATTAAAACACATGGAACTGTTTCTTTTTACATAATTTTTTATCCAAATTTCAGATATTCAAAATATATATTATTTATACTCTCAAGTCTCAACTATATGAATGGTAGCATTTGTAGTTCACTAGCCCAAGTGAATAAATATTCCTGTTCTGTGTGGGTAAAAAATCTATATGTTTCAACTTTCAACACGCAGTTGCTCGATTTTTCTAATTTTATTTTCGAGAATCTGACACATATTGTAAGTGTTTAATTGGCTTTAATGTTAGGGAAAAGTAAACTAGCAAAGGTGAAGGACTTGGGACTTGGTTTATATTTTGTTTTCTTATTTTTTTGTACCCTCTTATTATCTGGATAATATAAAGTGATTCGCATTGCCAAAATGTCAGGTCGTGTACATATGATATGATGTTTTGTCATAACGCAATAACTGTGTTTTTTTTCTTAATTATCGAATACGTTGATGGAAAAAAATGTCGATTTGATTTTCATCTAGGGGAGGAGCGTAATATACTGTATTTTAACATTTGTTTTTTTTGTAATATACTCATAGTTAATATTAGTAAATTAAACATTTTAATGTTTAGAAGTTGCGTCGAGTCCCTGGCGCTTTTTTTTTTTTTGCTTTGTTTTGAAAAAGATAAATGCACACGTACGCGTAGATAAGCAATAAAAAATAATTTTGAGTTGTCGTCTAATTAACAAATTATATAGAACGAAGTTTCTGCGGATGATTTATTTTAGGCGATATAGGATGATTCCGGGAGGCTTCCGTAAGAAAACTTAATATAGTAGTATTTATTTACTCTTAATGTTTTTTTTTATTCAAACGGAAAGGAACTAGGAGTATTTATGAGGATTCTGTGACAGGTCATTAACTACGAACATGAATAAATGGTCAACCTGCATTTACGTTCATTTTTTTTTCTACTGGTGTAAATGAAAAGATCCCTCCTTTTCCTTTGGTAGTTACTTTTCACTTCAAGGACTTGCAGCTTCAACAAAATACTATAAAAAAGCATTGGTAAATAATAATAATCGTGGGTCCAGAAAGAAAAGATTCAAATTTGAATAAATTGATAAAACTAATTAAAAAAAGGAAAGAAATGAGGGGGAAAAGATATAAAAGGAAAGTGTCATAGTAGCCAGATTTGTAGAGATGGCATCTCTTCCACGGAAGTGCCTTTGAAAGCTACGTTACTCCTTTTTTCTAGAATTTTCTTAAATAGTTTTTCTTTTTTAAAAGAGCAGAAAATATATAATTAATGAGCCAGAGTGTCTCTTTTCTTATATGTTATCGGGCAATAATTCGACCCAAGTTAAAACCCTTTATTTACAATGGATCAGAGATACAAACATCAGGAAACGATATATAACTCTGCACACAGGCTCACCAAAAAATCATTCTAGTCTAGTCGTTACTCCTTAGAGCACCAAAAAATCATAAAATTCAAAATTGATTCCATATGTATATTGGACAAATTAAGTTGTTTTCATATTTATTTCTTCAAATGATTTTAAACAGGAAAAATATGAACCATAAAATAATCTCTTTAGCATTGACTATGGTTTGACTCAAATAGTGAAAAAGAGGGTTCTTAGCTGGCGATGCCGACCCCTATTCCTGACCTCACGTGCTTCTTCTGTTACACTCACCTATACATGTAAGTATATATACTTACAACAAACTTGTGTTACGTTCACATAAAAGAGAGATCAAACTGAACAAATAATTTTTGTTATTATACTTGCATTTTTATTTTTTTATATTTCGCTAATTGCTGACGTAACTATAAACAAGGTAGTAATCATCGTGCCTTCGTATAGTTAGTGCGAAATCACATTTTAATCATGATGTAATGTAAGTCATTGCCTCTTCCCCAAGCCCTTTTCTCACAGGCTAAGATCACATGGGCACGTATACGAAGCTTCTATTTGCTCCCTTAACTCAGTTTCTTATAATTTTTTAAGGCTTCTATTATTAATCTTTTTATTATCTTGGACTGTCTAATACTACAGTATAATGCATTAGACTGAATTTTCTGAATCATCTGGTTGAAAGCTTGGGTTTTTGGTCTCTGGATTATATTAAATATTGGAAGTCGGCCTGTATGGAAAATGACAAAATATCAAAACTATTGAAGCACAACATTACTAGTAAAAATATTTAACAGCAATAATAATAAAAATTTGTAACGTGCAGTCAAAGGACACCGGTTGTCAATCACATGGTTCAAAGAGCGCTTTTCTCAGGTGATGAGTGGCAAGTGGGTTTATGCCACGTGTCTTTTTTACTGAGCCTATCGTCCGCATGACTGGTCAAAGATACTTCTCTGTTATTATTATTTTCCAAAATAATTGATCGACATTTTTTGCAAATAATCTCCAATACTATTGTTTTTACGAGCTCGTAAAAGCATCCGTCGGCCAATTCCTAACATTCACTATTCTGCGGCAGCTCATATCTGCCTAACTGGCCACAAACGCAAGCCTCGCTTTCCTCCACTGCAATCTATAACGCGTCCTACAAATTTGATCATTTATTAAATGTATATTTAGAATCATCTAAATATTTTTTTAATTAAATACTGCATCCCAATATATATAGACGAATATAGTGTTAATTGAAAGCATATTTGCAGTATTTATAAAAAAAAATATTTAGATGATTCTAAATATACAATTTACCGGTCCTTTCTAGGATTTAATGTTTATAATGTCAGTGTATATATTATCTGTATTTCTGTGTCTTGAATTCTCTATCCACTAATAAGTGCTATTTTCTTTGTGTAAAAGAAACTGTGTTATTAGGTTTATTGTTGTTAATGTTAATGTAATTACTAATTTATGCATCGAAAGCTGTCCACAGGGTACTACGGAGGCGTACGTGCGGGGGGTTACATTGTTTTATTTTAAACAAAGCAACGAAAAATAAAATTACAAAGTCTTTTTCTTTTTCTTGTCGTAATTTATTTATTGACGAGAAATATAGCAATTAGTTTTAAACTTTTGTTGTGGTCACCGGTTTGGTTTCAACTTAAATTCCCGATAAGTAAATTAAAATCAAAGTCTTCGATATGGTCGGCTTCGGATAAGCTGACAAATGGAAGCAATGAGCTGTCGAGAATTAAATGGAACTGAGAGCTGCGTATATCTTCCACTGACCAAATACGATTCTTCCATAATTTAATTACGGCCACTACTAGAGAAGCTTATTACGTTTAACGTCGTTTAGTATATTCAAAACTTCCAAAGCCCAACTAGGAGGAATTTTGTTGAATTGTTAAGCTTAAACAGATCAATATATCAAAGCCCATTTCACAACGTCGATATCAACAGTTTTAGGATAAATATATAATTGAATAAAACAGTATCAATCAACACGAACACACAATTAGCAAAGAACATCAACCCCTACAATTATACAGATTCACACTTTTACAAAACATGGAATTGTACATTTTTGTATTGATTTATGAAGTGAATATACAAAGCCTATTGGACTTCTCCAGTTATATTGTTGTGGGCTTTTATGTTCTTTGCTTCTTACACAAGGAACCCAAAAAAAAAGAGAGAGTCCAAGACAGATCTCAGCTAATTTCCTGTGGCGACATTTGTACTCTCGGAGATGATTATTGGCTATTTAATCTCTTCATATCGGTCTCGGATCTGTTTTTGGAGCTCCCTGTCTCCGTAGCAAAGTACATACGCTTAATCCGCTGGAGATCTTCTGCAACCTCCATCATTGTAGGCCTCATGTTTCTGTGAAAGGATAGACAGCGAAACGCCAGTTCGGCTAAGTTTTGGACAGAAGCGAACATTTTGGGATCGTTGTCTGTCTTTAAGCAGGGATCAATGATATCTACCACACGCCCTCTCCCGATCCTGTCAACGGCAAGAGCCGCTAGGTTCACTTCAGTGTAGGGACGAGAAAAGTCGATGACTTTAAACCCTGAGATGATTTCAATGAGAACAACTCCAAAGCTGTAGACATCGCTCTTGTCTGAGAGCTGGAAATCTTGGTGGTACTGAGGGTCCAAGTATCCTGGAGTGCCTTGTGGAGCCGTGGAGATATGAGACGCGTCGAAATCGGCTGACATGCCGAGCCTAGAGAGTCCGAAATCGGAGATCTTGGTGTTGAATTCGTTGTCGAGGAGGATGTTGCTGGATTTGATGTCACGGTGGTAGATGGGAGGGTTTACCGAAGAGTGGAGATGTGCGATTGCGTTTGCGGTTTGAGACGCGATGGAGAGACGTAGCGGCCAAGAAAGCGGCGTGCTGTCTCTCATCTCGTGTTGCAAATGCTGAGAAAGCGTTCCGTTTGGCATGAACTCGTAGACTAGGAACGGTTCTCCTTGGGCGATACAGCAGCCCAAGAGGCGAAGGAGGTTAGGGTGGCTCACGGTGGAAAGAAGCTTGATCTCGTTCACGACTTGGTCGACGCTTGTGGTGTCTTTGCGTCTCAGACGTTTTATAGCGACCCATGACCTGTTTGGGAATTCTCCGGCGTAGACTGTTCCGTACGCTCCCGTTCCGAGTTTGTTCTTGTCGGAGAAACTGTCGGTAGCTTTCTCGATCTCTTTGTAGGTGTAGAAGGGAACGCTGGAGTTTCCGGCGAGCTCACAGAGCAAGCGATTCGCGATTGATGCTCTTGCGGAAGACGCAGAACGCTTGTGGCGATGCATATAAGCAAATACCAAGATCGCAATTAGTGAAACGCCAATCAAAATCCCTGCTATAATCAAACATAAAAGATTCGGTTTATTGTTATCAATACATACCACTAGTTTAAAACTTACATATATAATATATACTTACCAGTACCAAGGACAATGAGTTTGTGTTGTACTCCTCCCTTGCGTTTACCAACTGCAAATAGGGAAAACCAATGTGGGTAAAAAAATAATAATAAGTTAATAACCAAATAGAGAAATAGCAAATCATTGACACTTTTGACACTATTATTAAAATAATAATAACTTTTTTCCGCGAGTTTTGTTTTTTGAAAAGTCAGCTTTTGTATGCAAAAAGCCACGTGTCATTGCATATCTGGTTCCTATATGTCGGTTAAAACTCGTGAAGAAGTCAAGAACCGGGACGAACCTGATCGGCAACCACCCTGGTGCACGGTGAAGGCGTTGCCGCGAAAGCCTTCGAGACAAGCGCAGCGATGACCGAATCCACCGCCGGCGAGCTTGACATCCGTACAGGTTGCGTTCGCCGAGCAAGACGTGTTGCTGCAACGGTCCTTAAGCCACCAATCGAGCTTGAGTCGACCCAAAGCGATCGAGACTTGCGATTTGGTATTCTTCGACCGAGGCGCAATAGAAGAGAACCAGTACTCGCATCCGCTCCGGTTAACAACGTCTCCGACACTCATCACATCGGCCGTTGTCGTCGTCGTCTCCTCTTCGTCGAGGCATGTAACCGGAATTTTACATCTACTGAGATTCAACCGATCTTCAACGAATCTACTCCTGATCAAACAATTAGACGACGATTTGTTCTGCGTGCATCCCTGGACCAGAATTACGTTGTTTGAATTCGACGGAGCGAAGTTCTCACCGAAGAGCTGCTGGATTTTGCGGATCTCGCGTTTGCACGCCGGCGGGATCTCCACGTAGATGTTTGCGTTTGTCACTTCCTGCACAGAGAACTCTCCGATTTCCGCATCTCCCGTTTTCTTCGAGCAGTTGAATCGGATTGGATAACCATCGGATAAACCGAACGGGTAACGAAGCGAACCGGTTCGACAGTTAACCGAGCCGGTGGATCGTGTAGCGACGGTGAGAGTGAAGAAGAAGATGAAGACGAGATACGGAGTGTTTGGTTGGCGAGTTCCTACCATGGAGAGACGAAGATTGAGATATAATTAAATGAGTGAATTCGAATAATTGTCTCCTCAATTTATTCCAATGGCAGAGACTGTCATTTACAGTGAGTTGACTTTCATGGTTTCGTTGACTAACGGCGAGCCGATAGACTCGTTAAGCCCTGATAAGGGGCAATCTTGACATTTGCCTCCCACATTTGCGCCTAAATGTAATAGTGTGTGACAATTCAAGACATTGATCTTTAGCTGTAACAATTCAAAACATTGATCTTTAGCTGCATTGCGACGATCAAGTTTAGATACTAAGCTCGTATATGATTGTAATCACACACAGTGTCGTCCCGTATATTAAGGTGGCTTAGAAGCATATCTGCAGAGTAAGATGGACCGCTTGATAAAAGATCATTTCCATATGATTACAGCAATTTTAACATATGTGTGTTATTTTTTTAATAAACTTGAAATTTTGTTTTCTGAATGGTGAAAATTCTTGGGAAATAGTTTTCAAAAATGTGAATACATACTGTAGCATGATTGTCTCTGTGTCATCTTTGTGAACAATCACTTCGATGAAACAGAGACAATCTTTCTTCTCCGATGTCGCCGTCTTAATCGCTTCCACCAACTCCTCCTCGTACCTCACCTATATATATATATATATATCAATTCATAACGTTATTAGGGCCGGTCAATCTCCAATTGTAAATTAGTCGTTGATTTGATAAATTACCTTTGTAGTCCAGCATTTGCCTTCACCGTTATGAATGGCATCGACGAGACCGGTGTAGTTCCAGTTCTTGATCACGTTGTATGGACCGTCATGAATCTCTACTTCAATGGTGTAGCCACCATTGTTGATCAGGAAGATGATCGTTTTCTGACCGTTACGCAGCATCGTGGATATGTCCTGAGCCGTCACTTGGAAACTCCCGTCCCCGATGAAGGCCAACACTCGCTTCTCTGGTACCGCCTGTGCATATCCCAGCGTCGCACCAACTGACCACCCGATCGACCCGTACTGCATCTGAAACTCGTACCTACAGTTGAATAAAAAGCTGAAATTGTGTTTGTTCCATTACGTGAAATTGCTAAAACATTAAAAGATCCACTGCTTCTTTTCCTTTTGGGGTACACGTACCCGCATCCTTTAGGCAGCTTCAGTTTCTGGCAGTTGAACCAAGAATCACCGGTTTCAGCAATCACGGCGGTTTCACTAGAGAGCATCTTCTGAATGTGCTGGAACATCGCGTTGACTCTCAGTGGCTCCTTCGGTTTGCATTTCAGTGGCTTACCTTCAGGGACGAAGATCCTGTGGTAGTTCTCGTAAGCGGTCTCGTTGCGCTTCACCAAAAAATATATATATTATTTTGGAGCCGCACAGCTTTAGTTATCCGATTACAGTTTATATTGCAAGTTTTAATAATCATGTTTCTATTAATTTCTTAATAAAATATTTTCTCTTTTTCACTAATTAGAAATAGCTTTTAAATATTTTTTTAATAATAATCATTATAACTTTTTTAAAAATTGGTACTTTTATTTTTTTTTATCACCGTTTAGATAAAATAAAGAAAGTTAATTGTTAAATTGCATAGATGTGAAAATACACCAAACATTGTATTCAATCATTTGACAGCTTGTTCAACATATTTTTACACTATATTATAAGTTTTAGTAATCAACTTTTTATTAATTTTCTAATAAATATATATATATATATATATATATATATTTTAAATTAGTATTCTTTTTTCTTCTTATCATTTTATTATTAGATGTGAAAACACACCAAAACATTGCAACTAATAATAGTATAATTCTTAATAAAAAAAATTAAAAACTTATGATTAAGTTTAAAATATTGTGACTCTTATTATTATCAAAAAATAAAATGTATACAAGTTTTCACCTAACCAACATTTTCTGGATTAGCTATTTTGATTTACTAGGCTGTGACAAAGTGTACATACCGAACTAACAACTTGTAGTTTCTGAGATATGAAACAAAAGTTTATTAGGCAATGCTGGTAGTTAAAAGAAAAAAAAATCATGTTCAGATTTTGGTTTGATTAATAAACTTTTCAAGCCGGTATAATTTAGTGGGCTTAACGCTGGGCCCATTTGGAATTGAAATCTAATTTATCAGTTTTCTCAAACATATAATTTATCTTAAGACATAAATTTTTTCTATTTTATTAATAGTATAGATTACACAATTTTTTTTTTTTTTTTTGTTGGAACTGAAATTACACATAAAAATTTATATTTATACATAGAATGGTAACGGCTAGTAATGGCAATGTCGGCAGACTGTTTTTGACCGTTTGTTTTTTTTCTGAAATCCCAATTTTTGTTCCTTCTTCTTATTTTTCCGTTACTCTCTTCTCTCTCGTTCCTGCTTCTTGCTCTTGTGCATCCGAAGGCAGTGCCAATTTCTTCATTACGTCACCTGAAATCACAACTCAAAGGTAGTGTTATCTGTGATTCACTTCATCTTCTTTCGATTTTTGCTTGGAACTCGGCTTCTCAAATCTTGGGTCTTGCAATGTTTCAGATCTCAGATCTCAGATCTCAATCGGAACATCAGGGTTTCAAATCAATCAGCTCGTGCTATTTTCAATCCGAGGTTTGGATCATTCGAGTCAATTCGGAGAAAATCAAGTCGAAGAAGAAGAAGAAGAAGAAGTAAAAGAGAATGGGGAAGAAACAGCACAGCAAAGATCGTATGTTCACAACGAAGACGGAGTGAGCAACGGAATGGGGAGGAGCTAAACCCAAAGAGAACCGTACTCCTTTCAAGAGTCTTCCTTTCTATTGCTGCGCGTATGTTGCTGCTACTCGGATTCAGACAGCTTTTCGGGGTCATCTTGTAAGATTCTGTATTCTTTTTTCTTATGTGATTCAGAAAGCCAGTACTGGAGCTAGAGAGCTAACATGTTACAATGATGTTTAGGCAGAAAGGGTTGAGGATTCTGGATGAATCTAAGATCTTTGGTTGTGTAATGGTTTAGAGTTAGAAACATATCTGGTTGATTAAGTCGCCGATCTTGATTGCAGGCAAGAAAAGCTCTACGAGCGTTAAAAGGAATAGTGCAGCTGCAAGCATATATCAGAGGTCGTGCAGTGAGACGCCAAGCGATGACTACACTGAAATGTTTGCAATCTGTTGTGAACATTCAGTCACAGGTCTGCGGTAAGAGAACACAAATCCCCGGAGGTGCTCACAGAGATTACGAAGAGAAGAATAAATTTCAGATGTTCAGCGATAATAACATACTCAAGGTAACATAATCTGATTCAATAAAAAAGGTTAAACTCTTTGAAACCGTTGCAGTACTTTTACAAGTATATGTAAGAAAAATAAAGTGTTACGTTTTCAGGTGGAGACAAACGGTCAGAAGAGATGGGACGATAGTCTTTTAACTAAAGAAGAGGTTAAAGCTGTGGTCATGAGCAAGAAAGAAGCTTCGCTAAGAAGAGAAAAGATCAAAGAATATGCAGTCACCCACAGGGTATTGTTTTTTTATTCGAACATTTTATTATATTCTGCATTTACTTCAAAGTTTCATGAAGACCTGAGAGAACTGTTTCTTTTTGTGAACGAACATCAGAAATCCGCTGAGTCGTACCAGAAACTGAGCAACGCGAAATGGAAGTACTGGTTAGACGAATGGGTAGATACACAACGAAGTGCTGTGGATGCTGCGTCTGCTTCGGTTCATGGAAGAAGTGCTGCTGCAGCCAAAGCTGGTTCTAGCGATAAAACAGCTGCAAGAATAGCTATGCATATGGCTGGAGATAGAGAGCTCCGGTTAATTCTAAAATGGTTAGTTAGTTTTCTTGTACAGAATAAACCTCGGTTGTGAACTTTGTTTGTGTGTTGTTAATGAGTTTGGGAATTTTTTTTCTTTCTTTTTCTTGTTTCAGGTGAAGAGCCGTTATTCTTCGGGTGCTGCTTCTCGTTCTTTCACTGAAAACGAATTCGAGTTAATCAAAGTGGAGAATAACATTAACAAGTTTAAAGAACAACTTTTCCAGGAATCAAGAGACCCAGCCGATTGATTCTCTTCCCTCTTCGTCTTCTTATTCTGGTAACTCAGCGAACTCTTTAGGGATTATTCATCATAAAGCTTTAAATTTTCGCTCTGCTGGAATTAGGATTAATATTACTTGAACTTGTTTGTTGCATATGTTAGGAGAAGATAAAGATCCATGGCTTAGGAATTGTGGCGATGAGTTTCTGCAGGATGCAGTTCCTTTTGAGGACGAGCCCCGCGTCAATGATGAATGAATTTTCCACAAAGAGGTCAAATCCGATCCTTAATTTTTTAATAAAAACATTTTTTTCTTGTTTCCTAATAAAAATAACTTTTTAATATTAATTCTTTTAAAAAATTAGTATTCTAAAAAAAAATTTCTTATTTCCTAATCAAGATATTTTTTCTTATTTCCTAATAAAAAATGCTTTTCAATATTAACTCTTTAAAGACCTTAGTATTTTTAAATTTTTCTTTTTTTTATCACTGTTTTGTTTATTAGATAAGTTAAAGAAATTTGATTGCTAAATTACATAGTTGTGAAAACAGACTAAACATTGCATCCAGTCATTTGATGGTTAGAGGTGTCATATGTTCAACATGTTTTCACACTATATTGTAAGTTTTAGTAATCAAGTTTTTATTAATTTTCTAATAAATTTTTTTTTCTTATTTCCTAATAAAAATAGCTTTTCAATATTAACTCTTTAAAAATTAATATTTTTAAATATTTTTTTATCACCGTTTTGTTTTTTAGATAAGTTATAGAAATTTGATTGCTAAATTACATAGTTGTGAAAACAGACCAAACATTGCATCCAGTCATTTGACGTTTAGAGGTGTTATATGTTCAACATGTTTTCACACCATATTGTAAGTTTAGTAATCAAGTTTCTATTAATTTTCTAATAAAAATATTTTTTCTTATTTCCTAATAAAAAATTAGTATTTTAAAATTTTTTTCTTATCACCGTTTTGTTTTTTAGATAAGTTAAAGAAATTTGATTGCTAAATTACACATAGTTGTGAAAACAGACCAAACACTGCATCAAGTCATTTGACGATGAGATATGTCATATATTAACATATTTTCACACCATAGTAAGTTTTAGTAATCAAGTTTCTACTAATTTTTTAATAAAATCTTTTTCTCTCATTCACTAATAAAAGTAGCTTTTTAATATTAACTCTTTAAAAAATCAGTATTTTTATCTTTTAGATTATTAGATGAGTTAAAAAAATTTAATTACAAAATTATATAGTTGTGAAAACAGACCGAACATTATATCGAGTCATTTGATGGTTAGAGGTGTCAATGTTCAATATATTTTCACACTATATTGTAAATTTTACTAATCAAGTTTCTCTTAATATTCTAATAAAAAATTTTTCTCTTATTCCCTAGTAAAAATAGCTTTTTAGTATTAGTATTTTAAAACTTTTTTTTATCTCTTTAGAATATTAAATGAATTAAAGAAATTTTTTAATAAAATCTTTTTCTCTCATTCACTAATAAAAGTAGCTTTTTAATATTAACTCTTTAAAAAATCAGTATTTTTATCTTTTAGATTATTAGATGAGTTAAAAAAATTTAATTACTAAATTATATAGTTGTGAAAACAGACCGAACATTATATCGAGTCATTTGATGGTTAGAGGTGTCAATGTTCAATATATTTTCACATTATATTGTAAATTTTACTAATCAAGTTTCTCTTAACATTCTAATAAAAAAAATTTTCTCTTATTCCCTAGTAAAAATAGCTTTTTAGTATTAGTATTTTAAAACTTTTTTTTATCTGTTTAGAATATTAAATGAATTAAAAAAATTTAATTACTAAATAACATAGTTGTGACCAAATAATGCATCTAGTCATTTGATTGTTGAAAATGTCATATGCTCAATATGTTTTTATATCATATGGTAAGTTTTAGTTATCAAATTTCTATTAATTTACTAATAGAAATATTTTCTCTTATTCATTAATAAAATTATTTTTTTAAATTGATTTTTTTAAAAAATTAATATTCTTAAACTTTTCTTTTTTAGTTGAATTAAAAAATACTAGTTGAAAACATGTTTTCACACCATATTCTTATTAATTATTAATAAATACATTTCCTCTTAAAAAAATTAGTATTTCTCTTTTAAAAAAAATTATTATCTTTTTATCCTTTAAATTATCACTAATTATTAGATGAACTAAAAAAATTAGTTGTGAAAACCCACCTTGAATCTAATCGGATTGATATGTTTAAACATGTTTTCACACTTTTTAATAATCAAGTTTCTATTAATTTTTTAATAAAAATATTCTCTTTTTCACTAATCAAAAATAACTTTTTAATATTAGTTGAATAATAACAGTAAATATTCTTGCATTTATTGCTACTGCACTCTTCATTCTCATTCCTACTGTTTTTTTGCTTATAATTTAAGTAAAAACGATTAGTCAAAATAATTAATTTAAATACAAATTGACTATCAATGAAAAAAAAAGATTTCAACTTCTCGTCTTAAATGAAAAGAACGGAACATACACTTTTCATTTTAAAGTGAGCGTTAGAAAATATATTTATTCTGACTCAGAGGGTGAAATAGGGCGAAATGCACTGGAGCACATAACTCTTATTGCAAACTTAAAGATTGTGACCCTTATTATTATCAAAAAATAAAAAATAGTATTCCAATTACTTAAATACTAGGTATTTACATGCGCTACGCTGCGGGATATTTTTCTAAATTATATATATTTTTAATATAATAAAATAGTTTTTATAATATAAATAAATAAATTTCTATTATTTTATGTTACTTATTTATATGTTTTAAATCTGAATACGCATTGTATATCCTTTTTTATTTTTGAAAATAAGTAATTTGCTATCAAATTTGTTTAACTAACTATATATATATATAAATAAAATAATACATTTTTATGTACTTCCATGCCAATGGCAAATATAATATATTTTCTATACTAAATTGCCACTTGATCCTCTCTTATAATTATATAAAGCAAAATGTCATTATAAATAAAAATTTATTAATTAATATTTTTTTTTGAATTATAAAATTTATTTATTTATCAAATATATATTATAAATATATGTTTCTAAAACTACAAAACTATAATCAACAACATTCATATCGAAACCATTGTTATTGCTTTTGAACGAAATAAAAAAATTATGTTTGAACTGTTGAAATATCGATTTAGCAGAAGTTAAATAATTAAATTTTGGTTACTATGGTAACTTGGAATTTTACCACTAAGAAATTTCATTTTCTTACAAAAACTGAAAAAACTCATTTCTGTTTAAAACAAAAAAAAATTATTTTCCCACGAAAACAGAGAAATTGTTTATTCCCGCCAAAACGAAGAAATTGTATTTTCTCTTCAAACCAAAAATTTCATTTTTCCACCAAAACAGAGAAATTGCATTTTTCGCAAAAACAAAAAAATTACATATTCTCGCGAGAATCTGTATTTTTTGCCAAAACCGAGAAATCACGTTCTCTCACTAAAACCAAAATTTTTTATCTTCATGCAATAACCAAAAAATATTTTTCCGTCAAAAACTTAAAAATTCATTTTTTCACGAAAACTGAGAAATCGCCTATTTCTGCCAAAATAAAAAAAAAATCATTTTCTCGTCAAACCAAAATTCACGTTTTTCCACCAAAACCGAGAAATTATATTTTCCCGCGAAAACCAAAAATTGCATTACCTCGCGAGAAATTGAGTTCTCAGGCAAAAACTAAGAAATCCTATTTTCCCACGAAAACTAAAAATCTCATTATCCGTCAAAAATGAAAATTTGCATTTTCCATCAAAATCGAGAATTTGCTTATTCTCACCAAAAATCGAGAAATTTTATTTTCTTATCAAACCGAGGAATTGCATTTTTCCACAAAAACCAAGAAATCGCATTATTCGTCAACTCAAAATTTTCATTTCCCATCAAAACCGAGAAATCGTATTTATCCGTCAAAATCGAAAAGTTGCATTTCCCATCAAAACCGAGAAATCGCATTTTTCCATCAAAACCAAGATATTTTGTTTTCCCGTCAAAATTAATTTTTTTCCGTTTTCCCTCCAAAATCAAAAAATACAGTTTCCCGACAAACCCGAAAATTGCATTTTTTCGCCATAGCTGAGAAATTACGTTTTCCACTAAAACTGAAAATTACATTTTTTTGCCAAAACCAAAAAATATCTTATTCCAGCCAAAACCGAGAAATTTCATATTCATGTCAAAATCGAGAAGAATTATCCGTGTTTTTCCAACAAAACTAAAAAAATTGTATTTTCGTGCCAAAATCGCCAAATTGCATTTTCTGCAAAAAAACCGTGAAATTATATTTTCCAGCGAAAACCAAGAAATCGCATTATCCATCAAAACAGAAAAATTGCATTGCCTACCAAAACCGAGAATTCGCATTTCCTATTAATAACCGAGATATTTTGTTTTCCGTCAAAACCGAAGAATTTTCTTTTCGCGCCAAAATCGGGAAATCTCATTTTCCCGTCAAAATCGAGAATTTTTGTTTCCCAATAATTTTTGTCTTCCTGTTTAAACCATGAAATTTTGCTTTCACGTCAAAAGCCAAGAAACTGAGTAAGTCCAAGCTGCGAAGCTGCAAAAATGGAAACAAATCAGCAGAATAAGTGAAACCATGAGAGATGGAAAGCTCTTATGTGAGACTTAGCAACGGAGAATAATCGAAAAGTTATTGATAACCACAAGAAGTGCGAATCTCCTAGCTGTCGTGGTTTGAGTTTCTCCTTCTTTGCTTTCGACCTTCATTTTTTGTAAACTTTAGGCTTTTTAATGGGTCAGCAAAATAGTATACTGATTTTATAATTGTATTGATGATATGTATTATTGTTATGTTTTTGTTAGTTTAAATTTTTACTGATATATGAGCTTCTTATGACATACGACTTTTTGCTTTGTTGTCATGGAAGCATAGTTGATGTTATACTTATATTTTCGTCAATCATACATGTCTGTTTCAAACAAACAGGTAACAGTAAATTTTAATTTTTCTATTTATTATTATTTCTTTGAGAAAAAATAAAAAAAAAATTTATTATTATTTATTATTTTAGTCTGAGTTTGGCAAAAATTAAATCAATTTTTTTATTTATCGTTATTTATTATTTAGATTTGACAAAAAATAAAACTAAAATTAATAATAAAAATATTTAGATTTTTAATGGATTAAAATTTAAAATTTAAAATAAATAGATGATTTATATTAATAAAATGTTTTAATTAATAATTTGTTTTGCTAAAATATTATATTTATAAAAAAATATATATATTAACATTTTTTCCAAACCGCTTCATAGTTGTTTGGATGAAAACAGTAAATCAATATGAAGCAGTAAATCAATATCACATTTTACAACATATTCGCTTCTTTCTTTGCTTCCAAATGTTTTCATTATATAATTTAGTGTTGGTTTGTTTTCATTATATAATTTATAGTGTTGATTTTTTATAAATGAAATAAATGATAAATAAAATAGATAATATATATTAATATTTTAATTTGATTAGTAAATTTTTTTTGTTGAAGTGTTATTTTTTGAAAAAATTTTAAAATGCTGAAATATCTTCACCAAAGAGTGTCTTCCAAGAGAAGGAGAAACACTTTGCTGAAGTGTCATTTTCTAAAAAAATTCTAAAATGCTGAAATATCTTAGCAAGCTGAAATGTCTTCACCAACGTTTTCGGGATGCCTCTAAAAAAAGTGTCTTCACCAGGAGAAGGAGAAACACTTGTGTTTTTGTTATATTGATTATAAAATGCATCTAATAAATGTGGCCTATAAATGATAAGAAGCCTAGAAGTGAACCTACTTAACCTCTTAAATACTACAAAATGTGGCCTATAATTTTGTTTTATATTATGTGGCCTAACATTAATGCTTCACCAGCTATAGAGCAGTGACGGGTCTGAGATTCACACATATAGTTACATATGCACTATTATTAGTTATTCTATAAATGAAAACCCCGTAGGATCATGATAAGAAAGCAAATGTAGAACTATGCTACGTCTGTACAACTTTTAACTCTGATCAGTAAGAAATCTCTATGGATCCAATAACTCAAGTTCCATTAGCATTTAGAGCCCACAGGTAATATGGAACTGGCCTCTCACTCCGGACCGTTCGATCAGTAAGCACATCGTACACTCAGGGGGGAACAAAAAAAACTAGAAATCAATTCAACGTTTGTTACATAAGGTCATAAGGGTGAAAAAACAAAAAAAAAAGAGGCAAAAATTACATGGGTCGAGATTCGAGAAACTCCATAAGAAAGAACTTGAGCCAGAGTCAACAGAGCACGAATCTGGTTTATTAGAACATTAAGAAAATAAAATCTAGATTATTCTTCAGCGGTGAGATTATGTCTGGTTCCTAGATTTTTCCTTCTCCTTCGATTCACTACCTTGAGATTTGTCGTAGTCTTACAAAATCAAAACAGCCACAAAATCGTCAACATTATCCTTCTAAAAAAAAATAAAAACAAATATATAATCTGTTACTAATTACCAGGGTGATTCTCATGGACCTCGTTTTTCTTTTGAAAGGTTTGATTTCCTCCATAGGTTCCTCCGAACCCTTCTTCATCAGACCTCGTAGCGTACCCTTCTCCAAACGAATGCGACATCACGTCACTGCTCCATTAATCAAAAGGGGGGAAAACATTAATTTTAACAAAATCCAAATGAATCAGAAACTATAATATAATGGACGAGACGAACCCAGTTTTGTCGTTTGCATTTTCAGGCTTTTTATCCATCTTTTGCTGGTCAGAAGCGGTGGCGAAACTAACTCCGGTAACTTTACGGCTAAATCGAGACGGTTGTGAGAAGAAAGAGAGACTGGTACTGGTTGAAGGAAGTGATCGGATTGTCTTAAACGCGCTGATCATTTCTCGGCTTTTCGAAGTTTCTTGAAGCTATAAATTTATAGAGGAAGTTGTTTTTATTCGTACAAGGAGACGATAAGTTTTCTAAAAGCTTATGTTAATATATTACGTGATTGATATGAGCGATACGACACATGTACCAAGCGGCGGATTTTGAATAAAGAAAGATTAGTGGAAGAGTTAACGAAATATCACGCCAGATATTATTAAGCGTCACTGTCTCCCGACAAAAAAAAAGTAGGACGGTGTCTTGATTAAAGCTCGCCACGTTGAATACTTATGACATGTGGCGCGACGAAGAAAGGCACTGATTAGGTGTTCGTCGAAGATACGACACGCGTTGAGCGAAACGACGGGTTCAAAATTTAAAATTCCATGGCAATAGTAAGTCCTTTCTACAACCAGACAACAACACAATCAGCCAGGGACGATTTTAAATTCCCTCAGCTTCGCAAATACAGAGTAACAAGTCTTCTCTAGTCTCTAGTCCGGTCAACATACTATTTTCCTTTTCTTTCAGATGGGCACAACTGACAAACTCTTATTATTACCGTAATAATAACATTCACCACTTAACAGTTGTTTAAAAAATTTGTTTAAAAATTGCTATATCACCATGAGGCGTAACGAGAAAGTAATTTAGTTTCAGGAAATGGTTAAAGAGAATAACCAAACAAATTAACAAGTTTTTCCTTTTCTATCATTTTATTTCACCGTTTCTGGTGTCAAATGAAAAACCGAGAGGACGGATGAACACTCCTTTCTCCTCCATCATCAGATCAGCTCATAACAGTTTTGTCTTCTCCTAATACCCTTTATCCTTTTCCTGATTATTATTCCGACGACACATAACAATAAAGCATAAGGGGCTGCTCGTGTGGAGTAAAAGATGGATCAATAGACGCGAGCTTTGGGAGGGAAAGTCTCAATCTCATCGTCGAGAGTGTCCATGTGAACAGGCCTATACTCCAACCTCACTTTCTCATCTTCCCAGTATCCCAATGTATGCTTCATCCATTCTCCATCCTCTCTTTTCTGCAACACACCAATTCATTATTATATAAGTGGATATGATGGATGAATCATTATGAGGATGTTTAAAGCGCTGAGAGGAAGGAACCAAACCGTGAAATCTTCCCGAGCATGTGCTCCTCTGCTTTCTTTTCTTGCTTCCGCTGAATGCATTGTTATGGAAGCGTTTATCAAAAGGTTCTCCAGTTCAATTGTCTCTATCAAATCAGAGTTCCTGCATTCATCATCAACTTATTAGTATCAAGAATTTTACCACACCATTTTGGAACATTGGGAATTTACTATATTAGTTCAATTGTATTTTTGTTTTGTGTTTACCATATCAAACTCCGATCTTTAACCTGGACATCCTCGAAACTATCCCAGGCCTTGTCGATCAATTGACAACCTGTGATTATTACAGAGCAAAAATGGGTAAAGAAATTGGCCTTTGAAGGTCAGAGAGAAAGAGAGCTCTGAATTCAGAACAAAGTTAAGATGAATATATATATATAGTTTTACCTTCTTCCAATGTTTCTTGGGTGCGGAAGACAGCTGCATTGTTCTGCATAATCCTCTGCATGTTCAATCTGATAGTTGAAGTAGGAAGCGATCCGTTTGAGTTTCTCAACTTGTTCAGCCATTCGATAGTCTTCCTTCCTGCATCCTGCTCCAGAGGTCTCTGTTTCTCCCCTGCACCCATCGAACAAGACATACAACATTAGGAGAGGCTATTCCTTTTTTTTTGCTTTCTAATAATAGTACACTGCCGAGATCCTATAAAAGATACTAACCTGGTTTGCTTATCTCTGCAACCCTATTTGCACATGCTCGGCCAAACACAACAATGTCGAGCAGAGAGTTTGCACCCAGCCTGTTGGCACCATGAACAGATGCACAAGCTGCCTCCCCAGCAGCCATAAGCCCTGGAACCACTGCATCTGGATCATCTCCTTTGATGGTAACTACCTGCAGGACAAAAAAGTATTACTTTGACTTCTAGGCTTCTAATGCATCTTATGCTTCATTTCAGCAAAATTCCTCGAAAGACTTCTCCTCCCATTCTCTCTCTTACCTCCCCGTGGTAATTTGTTGGGATACCACCCATGTTATAATGAACAGTCGGCAAGACTGGAATTGGCTCTTTGGTAACATCAACACCAGCAAAGATTGCAGCAGTCTCAGAGATTCCAGGAAGCCTTTCTTTTAGAACTTCTGGTGGAAGATGATTCAAATGGAGATAGATATGATCCTTATGCGGTCCTGGCGTATATATCAACACATATCCCATGTGAGAATAAATCTTAGACAGATCACCAAATCAAGCAAGGATACACCTCGAAGATACATAACGAGACTTTGCTCTAGAAATTAACAGGGTAGCATGCATACCTACACCACGACCTTCCCTGATTTCCATAGTCATAGATCTGGAGACAACGTCTCTTGATGCAAGATCTTTGGCTGTAGGAGCATATCGCTCCATAAAACGTTCACCTTCACTGTTTCTAAGGATACCACCTTCACCTCGAGATCCTGCAATTGTATAATGAACAAACACCAAACATAAAAATCTCACAAAACACATTAAATCTTTCATCTTGCAAGCAAGTTCGTGCATGAGAGGATAAGATACTAACCTTCAGTGATAAGACATCCGGCCCCATATATACCAGTTGGATGGAATTGAACAAACTCCAAGTCCTGAGATTAATGAATTAAACATTCACATTATTGGCATATAAATACATTACATACCATCTATTTCAAAACGAAACAGGAGGCAAACCTGGAGTGGAAGACCAGCACGTGCAACCATGGCATTGCCATCTCCTGTGCATGTATGTGCTGAGGTTGCAGAGAAGTATGCTCTGCCATACCCCTGGAAAAACATCAGCCATCAGGTGAGTACATTTGCAGCATTGGAAAAAACCGTATCATATAAAAAAATAATAGCTCACCCCAGTGGCCAAAATTGTTTGTGCAGAGCGGAAACGATGCAATGTTCCATCTTCCATGTTTAGCGCAATCACACCCTGGCAACTGCCTGCATATCAAAATAACAGTGTTGCATGAATAATAGTAACAGAAGCGACAGCAGCAAAAGAAAGATAACTCCCACAGACTTACCATCACTAGCCATGATCAAATCCAGAGCGAAGTATTCAACAAAGAACTGTGTGTTATGCTTCATAGCTTGGCCATATAGGGTATGCAACAGAGCATGCCCAGTCCGATCCGCAGCACAAGCACAACGATAGGCCTGACCACCTGATGGTAGAATAAAAAAAGAAAGCCAATATGAGAGAAATGTAGTAAAACAAAAGTAAAAAAGAAGATAAAAGCTAGCAAGGCGTTAGACAAGCCACCTTTTCCAAAGTCAAGACTCTGACCACCAAATGCACGCTGGTAAATCTTGCCCTCTTCAGTACGAGAAAACGGCAGCCCATAATTCTCGAGTTCGATTACAGCCTTTGGTGCCTCTCTGCACATATACTGGATAGCATCTTGATCACCTACACAGAGAGAATAAGAGAAGAAACGAAAACTCAGTAATTGCTCAGTGCACGCAGAAGTGAACCACATCATAATAGCTTCTAATAGCAAGATCAATTCACAGTAAGATTACCTAGCCAGTCACTTCCCTTGACAGTATCATACATGTGCCATCTCCAGTCATCTTCAGACATATTTCCCAGTGCAGCATTAATTCCACCCTTCACAGATTTGCACATCATAAAGTATATAAATCTCAACTCCCATTAAAATCGATGGTAAAGAGAGGGGTTGTAACCAAATTACCTGAGCAGCGACAGTATGAGACCGTGTGGGGAAAAGCTTGGTAATGCATGCGGTGTTGAAGCCATGCTCCGACAATCCAATCGCCGCCCTAAGTCCAGCACCACCAGCTCCCACCACCACCGCATCGTAGGTGTGATCCACTATCTTGTAGTCATCGGTCTGCGACAAGATCGCCATGGACACACGAATAAGCACCAAGCAATTAACAAAATAACAAACACGAACCGATCAAAATCAAAACGGAAGGACAATTTTCCCCGTCCCCTAACATTTCCTAGACTACCACTAATGGGCTAAATGGCGGACAAAACTATGATTTCAGAATAGACCACATGGATTCACGCGTATTCACAGACGATCGAATTTGGGGAAATAACAAACGGAAGGAGAAGGAAGAGAGATCATACCGAACCGGTGGAGAAGTGTCTGGAAATCCGAGATCCAGAGAGTGAGGTCCTTGAAGAAGGAACTCGAAGGCTACGAGAGACGCAGCGCCACATCTTCTTCTTGATTCCGCAAGCGAATCAGTTGAATGCAAATCCGCAGAAATGAAGACGAAGCAGTTTTTGTTTCCACACAACTCGCGAGAGAGAGGTTCCTTTAAGAGGAGGACGCGAACGGAGTGAGAGAGAGCCACCGAGGTGCTTAAAAAAGAAAAATGGAAAACGATGACTTTTCTTCTATTTCCCTTAATACCCTTAATCTCATACGATAATTACGGCTAAACCGGTTTGCTTTGGAGAACTAAACCCCCCTCTCCAAGATTAGGCTCTTGTTGTTGTTGTGGTCAAATTGTCAATAACTCCCTAATGAAATACATACTCTCACCCAAATGTTTGGTGCCGATTTATTCTTTGTCGGCGTCTCCTGCTCACTTTTTTAGATCCAAACCGTTTGAGGGTAACTCGATCTTATGACTGAACAATAAAATCATTTGTAGAAGGGTAGAATAACAGTACTATGTTAATGGTAATTATAATAATAATAAAAAAGAATATATCACGTACAAATTAACATGCTAATCAGATAAATTTATCATAGAGAAAGATAATCGTGGACGGGTTCTCAAATCCAATATTCATTTAAAATGTTATTAGGAAAAGAACATTACAAGCTTGTTTACAATAACTGTTAGAGAGAATCTTAAACATCAATTCCGATGTCGTCCAGCGGTTAGGATATCTGGCTTTCACCCAGGAGACCCGGGTTCGATTCCCGGCATCGGAGCTTTTTTGAAATTTTTGTTTATCAATTGGATCAAATTATTTTAGCAGAAGCTCAAATCATCCTCCTACACATTCCAAATTCCAAACATCGTTGAAAGTTTCTAACAGCCAAATTTGAAGATAAATAGCCTAAAACATAAAATCCGCAACTGCAAAAGCAGAGGGCCAATTGTCATCACATGAGAGCTAGTAGCAGCATTAACTCATGTTTCCACCACGGTTTCAAGTGTTTCTTAACATACAAAAAATTCCGAGGCCCTCTAATGACCAAACCATCATCCTCCAGGCAAAAGTAACCGGTAATGTTCCGGAAAAAAAAACACACCGAAGTGGTTTTAAATGCGTGCTTCAGTTGTTTAACTGTTGAGGGAAGACAGCATCCCTCCAGCTGAACTAGGCAGGACCACTTCCCAACCCGGACCCTTCACCGGAAAAGCTTCACCAGCTTGTGGTTCCGTCTCGCCGGGTGAAGTAACCATCAGGTCACTCCGGTCAAGCAGCCGGTCAAGATCCTCCTCGCTTATATCAGTTTGTATCATTTTATCTTCAGCGGTTTCATCGTCCTTAAGCAACGCCAGTATGTCATCTTCCTGTGAGTTTGTTTAATTCAAGCTTTTACTTAAAAGAGATGCTTTTATCTAGGGTATAATATACAAGGATTGTGTTTTAAGAGAAATCAAACCTCCAGTGGTGTTGAAGACTTGGCACGTTCCTGATGAAACTGCCCTCTGCCAATTACCACATGTTCCAGCTTTAGCTTACTGTACGCTCGTTTCAGAACCCGGCCCTGCGCAAATGTCACAAACTAGTCTCAAGAGGCAACAATCTCACTGGCTTGGGGTAGATATTGATTAATAAATCAGCAAACAGTTTTACCTCTATTGACTGAGCCGTTGCAAGCCTGTAAACATGAACAGGTTTTGTCTGACCAATTCTGTGGCATCTGTCCATGGCTTGCAAGTCCATTTGAGGGTTCTGGAGATAAGGCCAACGCACATTTAGAGACCACCAGAAAGAGACAAGACCAGGAAAGAATTTCAAAGAACATTTTGACTGATTTAATTACCCAATCGCTGTCGTAGAGGATGCATGTATCAGCAGCAGTAAGATTGATTCCGAGTCCACCAGCTCTGGTACTAAGAAGAAATATTCTACAGCTGCTCTTCTCATCATTGAATTCTTGGATCTATTTCATGCGAGAGACCTTTTGGTTATTATATGGTCAGAATATTGTTTAAATGCAAAAGCAGCATAAATATTGGTTAAATGCAAAAGCAGCATAAATATTGGTTAAATGCAAAAGCAGCATAAAGAGGAACCTGTCTTCTCCTTTCATCCAGCTTCACATTGCCATCGATTCTGCAAACCTCAAACCCCTTCTCGCTAAAGTAATAATCCATAATGTCCAGAAGCTTTGTCCATTGGGAGAAGATTAGAACCTGTTCATCAAGAAACGGATCAAAGCAGTTCTCAAGGGAAATGAGGTACGAGCCAAGGATTTGTAGAACATACTCTGTGATTCTTGGCAAATAACCGAACAAGCAACCTCTCCAACAAGCGGAATTTACCGCATTGTCCAACAATATCTTCAATAGGAGGATAGAGGTCTGCCAAGACACGTGACAGTTAGACAGATCAGTAAAACAAAAGCTTTTTTCACAAGTTTGTAAAAAGGCACACTGACATACATGAACCATCTAGTTGCCCCACAAGAAGGTCAGGGTGGTTGCAGTTCTTCCGAAGTTGAACAAACAGATTGTTAAGCTTTCCCTTCCAGCCTTGATAAAAAGTATAAGGAATGAGCAAAGCAATACAGAAAGCGACATATTTATCTGTAAAGTATAAAATCACAGAAGATCAAGTACCACGTATAGCATTCTCTCCAAGGTGTGCCTCCAACGTGCGATTCACAAGATGTTCCTGGAACTTTTTCTGATGATCAGTCATTGTAGCATAAATAATAATCTCCTTTTTCCGTGGGAGCAAGAGCTCCACATCACATTTCATTCTTCGGAGAATGAATGGTCGCAGTATGCCATGAAGTTTAGCGACAACCTAGACAAAAAATTTCCTCTTCCCATGATATATATGTACAATCAAAGAAATAAAGCAATATTGACAATAGTTATCCATACTTGCGCTCTTCTTTTCTCTTCTCCATCTTCCTTAGTTGCTTCATTTTTGTTTTTTCCAGAAAAATCAAACCTGTAAGGAGTAAGTGTTGAAAAGATATCACCAAGTTAGGTATAAGGATAGAACGAAAGATAGCATACTACTTAAGGGTAATAGTAGAAAAGGAACATGTTTCTACCATGACTCAAATTCATCATGTGATGCAAAGATGTCGGGCAGAATAAAATTCAACAGTGACCAAAGCTCAGACAAATTATTTTGCAGAGGTGTCCCTGTCAGCAGAAGTTTGTTCTCCATCTTCAAGTATCTAAGTTCCCTCAGCAATTTACACTTGTGGTTTTTCAACCTGTGGCCCTATAATATACAAGAACAAATTAGTGAGTTAAAAAAGATCACGTTGATTAAAGAAACTCGAGTGTCTAGTACATTGGCCAATCTGGAAAATTTACCTCATCAATCACAACATACTTCCATGGATATTGGCGCAGATTTTTTTTAGCATCATTCATAGCAACCTCATAAGAAGTGATAACTATAGGAAACTTAGGCCCAACAGTTTTGGGCATGTGCTTCCTCCTAAGCTCATCCCTTTGTTTCTTGTCTCCATGGTAGATGATTGCATTAATGGAAGGCGTGAACCTATTCAACAAGGGAAGAAAACATGAAACAGGGACCCCAACGGTTTGCATCTATGTAAGCAAAAATTGTCAAGAGAGTACCTAGTGATCTCATTCAGCCAATTTGAAAGAGTAGACAGTGGAGCAATTACGAGATATGGACCATCCAACCCATTTCCTTTCAGATGTGATAGGAAACCAATCGTTTGAATGGTCTTTCCAAGTCCCATTTGATCAGCTAAGATTCCATTCAAACCATTTTGCCACAATGATATTAGCCATTTAACACCTTTGAGCTGATAAGACTTTAACTTCCCACCAGTCAGAAGTGGGACTAGTTCACTCTGCTCTTTCATGACTCTGTCTTCCTCTGTCAGATCTGAGTCCGGGGTTTCACCACTTTCTTTAGATCTCGAAATCATAGCAGCAACAGCTCTCTTAGCCTTCGTCTGAAAAAAGAATAAAACATAGTAAGTTGATTTTCCGAACATGCACAAGATATATAGACGCCCAGTTAAATAAAGTTTATAAATGGAACTAACGTTGTTGATTTGAGAAGCAGCCTTTCTTTTACGTCCACGACCAGCCTTCTGAGGCTCGGCTTTCTGGCCCTCACCGTCTACCCCATTCTAACAAGACGCAATTTTCACACAGTTACTTCATTAAAGAAAATGAATCTGATTCCAAACGTGAAAAAACAAACAAGAACAAGGCAAAAGGAAGATTACTTTTGTGATATCGTCCATTTTCTCAAGGAGAAACTCAGAGTAGAGCTGGGTTTGAGTCAAGAGCTCATCCAGTCTAGTAAACTGGGTATCATTGAGATCAGGAGCCTCCACAGACCCAACACTTGCTTTCTCTTCATCTTCCCTAATTTTAAGCAGCTTCTCTTCCTCCTTAACCATGGCTTCGGGAATAAGGGACGCGTCTCCATTTTCCGCTAGAAGTATCTCTTCCTCCACAGCAGTAACAGTTTTCTCCTCACAGTTTTCCTTGAGAGTCAGAAAAAGGGCCAAATCAGAGAGTGAAAAGAAATACCCATTTACAAAACCAAAATCGAAAGTAGAAAAAGTAACACAAAAGTTTTTCATATTCCTAAAAGAAGAAGAAAACCAAAAAAAAAAGGGAAAAGAGCGAGCAAACTTTTTCTATTCATCATTGTAAATTTTCTCGTTGTCCTGAGCAAACCCCAAACTACAAAGGAAGGTGTGCAAAAAGTATGGGAAACGAGGGGAAAGAGTAAAACCCAGAACAAACCTCTTCACTGAGAACAGAAGTCGTTGAATCGACCGAGGCATCTTTCTTCGCTTTTCTGTCATTGGCCATTTCCGAAGAGAATCCGAAAATAAAATGAGAGACAAAAAATCAACAGAGATACCCATAATTCCGAAATTGAAGCCAAAACACACCCAAAAAAAAAAAACAATCAAACGCGGTGACGGAAAACCCCCCAAAAGCAGCGAGCGATTTCGAGAGCGTTAAGGATCCGAAAATCGCCGGTAAACAACACTGAAATGAACGAAACAATAGCAGAGGGGAGATACTTACGGAATGGGTTTTTTGGAGCGCAGGCTAACCATCGGAACCGAGATAAACTCCGGTAAGAAACACCAAACGGCGGGAGAAATCACCGAACAGTCTCCGTCGCTTTTGGAGAGCAAATTTAAAACGAGGGTATAATGAAAATTGAAAAGACACACCACTGTCGCTTATTTTCGATATTTTTTATTTGTTGGAAGTGGCGCCTGATGGCGGGAAACTTGAATTGACACTTTTACCCCTAAACTTTTTCTGTAATTCCATATTTTGGTGATGTGTGTCATCTACAGAGTACAAACACAGAAAATTTATGGGCATTGACTGGATTTGCTTTTTGGTTGACATGAATAACAAAACGCTAATAAGCTAAATGGGTTTGCTTATTTTTCGGGGTGAATAAGAGAAGAATTGTTATCGCTACGGTAGAAATAAATGTCAAAAAGTAATCACGAGATTTCGCACAAGTATTATCACTCACACACACACACACACAGAGGTTGAGAGAGTTTTTATTGTTATCGCTACGGAAGAAAACGACGTCGGCGATCAGAATCAATAGTCACGCGACTTGGAACGCTCTGACCGTTTGTACTCACGATCATCATAACGGTATTCTTCTTCCTCCATTCGGCCATAACGGTCACCGTACTGATTATAACGGTCTTGGTCACCTCCTTGCTCCTCCTCACGCTCGTAATGGCTTGAACGTCTACGCCCTTCGTAGTAGCCATGACCTTCCTCTGACTCACCTCGCCTCTGCTTCGACCCACCCCGCTCATACTCCGCCTCTCTCTCGCGGGATCTTCCGCCATCGTCTTCATACTCACCGCTCTCGTACTCCCTTTCCCTCTTCCGACTCCGCTCCCGCTCGTGATCCCGAGTTCGGTCCCGGCGGTCTCTATCTCCTCGGTCACGCCTGCTCTCTCTTTCTCTATCCTTGTCTCTACCTCGGTCCCGGTCCCTGTGGTGCTTATCCTCTCTATGACTCTCTCTCGGTCTATCACGAGACCGTTCACGGGACAGTTCGCGAGACCGCTCATGAGACTGCTCACGTTCCCTTTCTTTGCCCCTATCACGAGACTTCTCACTGCATCCGCAACATAATCAATCAGCCACAACAGAGTGACGACATGGAGAGGAAAAAAACAGCATGGCTTGTGAAGAAAGAATTATCTTACCGGTCCTCACGGGCTCTTGGCTCCTCGGAGCGGGACATTCTTACTTGCGGTGGTTGCTGTTGTTCCTCCTCGCCAGCAATCTTCTCACCAGGAACTCTGCTTGTACCAAGTCCACCACCAAGCCTACGGGGACGCCAGTTCGGGACTGTTCTACCTCTCTCAACATCAACCAACACTCTTCTACCATCAATCTTCCTTCCATCACCTTGTTTATATGCAGCTATAAGAGACCACAAGCTGGTATGTCAGCAAACAAAATATATACTTGGAACAGAGAATAAAGTTACGAGAACATTTTCCGCACCTTTCATATCACGGGTGTGCAAGTACTCGATGAAGGCATAGCCCTTAGGTTTATTGGTTTGCTGGTCTGTCACCACATGAACCTGACGAGTTGACACAACAAAGACATCAAGAAATCACAAACTCAGCAATAACTCGTACCATCGTTTCAGATACGGTGCGTTACATGTCAAACAAGCACAGGCAACCTTTTTTTCTTAACAGGCTTCCACATCATCACCACATCAAGAATTGGCAGAAAAATGGATTCCATGGCAGCAAGTATTACCATTTCTGAAGGGTTTAATGACCCCTTACCAGGGTTTTAAAACTTTTATGAAATTTAGATATACACTTTTATAATGTACAAGTTTACCAAACCATCTTCATAGTAGCTGATAATACTTTTGCTAGCCTTAGCAGCCAGAAGACAAGAGTTTTAGTAGATTTTTTTAAGAAACCAAAAAGAGAGAAGTGTTGGTATACTCCCTACTTTTATTACCGATATTGTTTCAAGATCTTACACTCACTGCCCAAAACCCAGAATTTTGGCTTCCCGTGTAGGCTGAATCATTTTCTTAGGAGCCAGATGGATAGAATGGGGACAAATTAATTATTAGAGGCTTACCAGGATTGGGTTTGAAGAAAAAATATATCTCATAGACTATGAAACCTGTGAGCGTACACCCTCGATATAGTAGTAAAAGGAATATACATATATCCTTTGAAGAGACAGGTCTAAAAGTAAAGTTACCTGATCTATACCTGTTCCTATAGTTGACTTGTCCCGAAACATCTCAACCAATCACCACGGAGCAAAAAGGTTTGTGAACTTACACAATATTAACCGAAATATCTTTTACTACTTACTCTATCTTAACAAGTTACGGGAAAAAGGCCCAGTGGCTTTGATCAGACTAGAAGAAGGCAAAACATGGCAATTCAGAAGCAGATCGATTTCTAGTCTAAAAGGAAAAAGTTGTATGTAAAAAATCAGAACCTTAGAAACTTGTGGACGTAAAATCAAACATATTACAAAGAGAACATGGGAGCGAGCAGCCATCTCATAACTTCTTACCGAACCTGTTAGGTAATGCTCAGAAATACATACCTGCTTAATTGGTCCATAGGCCTCAAACTCCCTTTTAATCTTACTCTCAGAGGTCTCGTAGTTCTGCAAGACGACAAGATAAACATAAAGTGAAGCACCACAAAAAAAACACCCGTTTATGAAGGCCATCTCAACAAGCAGCGCAACTTACAAGTCTTGCAACAAACAGTGTCTTGTATGGATCTCCAGAAGCATTGGGGTCATTATTCGGATCATCTGCGGACAAAACATCAATTCACCAAATCGTAAGTGCATGAAGGCACAAAAGAAAGCCTGGTTATAATTACAAGGTGGATTACATTTCTTTAGCTCCTCTGCAGCCTTTTCAACCCCTTTCTCCAGCCGTGAGTTATGAATTCTCTCCCTTTTTTGTGCCTGTTCCAATAAAACAAACATATAAGACTATACAAAATACATATAATATGTATTATGTCACTGAAATAAGCATAGTAAAAAAGACAGATTGAGGTGAAACATACGGGTGTTTCAACTTCCGGCTTAGGTGGAGCATACTCTGGATCTCCAGGTTCAGCAAAGTGACTCACAAATTGAGCCATGCCTAAACATAAATACACTGGTCAAAATCACATCTATATTTAAATAGACTCAGAAGCTAAGTTCAGACCTGTATAAGGAGGGCATTTTCTTTTCTCCGGTGGTGGCTGGAACTCCAACGGCGGCCGTGGCTCGAAGAGCTTCAAGAGATTGGGCGTTAAGCCTGTCGGGTGGCTTTGACCCATCTGCGAATCAGCAAAGGATCATATTAACTATGAAATCCGGTTCTCAGAGCCTTTTCATGGTCAATCCATCGATCTTATTGAGTTCCTAACTCTAATAAACCCAGTTTGAAACTAGAGGGAATAGTGATGTACAATCGAACTTCAGTAGCGAATCTAGGTTACTAGCATCGGAGCCGCAATAATCAGTATCAGCAAATCCCGAATAGTGTGATACATAACAAATTAAGTATTGAAAGAGATGATCATTCTATCGACGAAGTCTATATCGAAACAGAACATCCAAAATCGCATCACGCGCTCGTATCAAGATAATCAGTCAGACCATACAAATAGAATCCCAACTCTAGCTAGAGGAGCAAAGCAAACAAGAGCTAATTCGTATGGGTAAATCCGAGATAAGAGGCGAACCAGTTTAAGCTGAAGAACATTGGATCGGTTCTGAGCCTTAGTGCGTGCCTGAACGGCGGCGTTTTGGTTACGCATGAAAGGATCGTTGAGGTCCCCCATGGCGAAGGGCGATCGGAGCTCAGCTAGGGTTTTCCGGGAAGAAGAAGATGGGTTTCGTTGGGGATATCAAAATTAACAAAAGTTTAATTAAAGATCGCTTTTGTTCAAGCGTGGAGATTTTAGTCCTATTTATATTATTTTATATTTTTGGCAACAAATATTATAGTAATTGACATTTCCATACCATTTTAGTTATTATTTTTATATTGGTTACGCATGAAAGGATTGTCGGTGATTTTTCTTTTTTTTTTGCTATTTCGCAATTATGGAATGTTACAGATTATGTTGGATTTTAGAACTTGTTAACTTTATCAACAAGATAGCTGAAGTTTTTGGGAATTTGATGGATTTGGGAATTTGGCAAATTTAAGAGCGGAAAGATGAAGTTTAAAATCCCAAAAAAAAACATTACTAACATTCAAATAATACTACTAGCCAGTAGACTAGAAAGTTGCTCAAAAATTTTGTGTTTCAGAGATGATAGCGAATGAATCATGCCCCTCCTATTGGAAAAAATAACACTAATCATGGACATATATTTGAGGGGGGATGGGATCGATCTTTCTGACATGAAGTATATGTATGGTTATGCCATTGCCACGCCGGCCGGCGACTACACTACCTTTGATAAAGCTCCGGCGAATCAAAAGTTAAGAAGCTCCATAGCTATTTCAAACGACGGCTGCTTCGTTTGGATATTTGGGTCGTTCTTCCTCTGTCCGCAAGTTTCAGAGTCTTTGTCAATTCCCGTACGTTCTGCATAACAATGTATACAAAGCAAAACAGGTTAAAGACAATTTGACACACACAATGGAACCATGTAGAACATCTTATGAAGGTTTCGTTACCACAATATGACCCCAAAAAAGACACGAAGGTTTCCAAATAGCCAAATTCTTTCTACATCTACGGGGCTCTGTGGATCAATGCTTGTTTCACAACTCTCTTAAGCATCAATACACTAAGAAACTACATAATCTTGCAAGAAGTATCAGGTTGAGAAAAACAAAGGTCGCTATGTATTTACTGTAATCTTTTAAGATTGACAAGTTCAACAGCATGGAAGTGGATGGTAAAAACCAGACGAATGCACCGACAAGAGAATGCTACTGCGATCTAACACATATCACGCCGAGGAACGAAACAGAACATCCAAGCATTTAGATCTCAACTTTATGTGGCTCAGTGTGAAATGAAAATGCAGACAAAGAAACCATATTCTCTGCCTAATTAAATTGTAACTTGACACCACCATACCCGATTCACTAACCCTTTACTACACAAATCAAACTATGTATGATCTCTGTTTACCTCAGTCTAGTTGTCTCTTATCTCTACAGTTCAATGTAAAGGAAATGACTCACTGTATAAGCAAAGCTAATCAGAATGAATCTATGACCTTAACCATCATATAAAGAGCAAATAGCAGTGTTTAAACGTGTATGGAAGTCAGATTCAGTATTAGATCATCACCGTGGAATGCACCGGAGGCGGATCTATGACAACGGAGCGAATAGACATCCTCGCGATCTCGGAAATGGCAGCTTCAACCACACCAGGTACATCACTCGTAAGCTCCTCGTAAGCAGCCTCGAAGGCCTCCTGCCAAAACCTCGGTAATCTGATACGGCGGCCATTGTTATACACATCCCACATGTGCTTCACCACTTTCTCCCTCTCTTCCATTTCCTAATCCCGCAATCGAACCCCAATCAAAAAAAAAAAAAAAAAAAAAAAAACCAACCACGAAATCTGAAACAGAAGGAGATCGCCGAGACTCACAAGAACATCGAGATCCTCGTGGATCGGAAAGACCAGATCGTCGGTGAAATGGTTTATGTTCCCGGCTGACCACCGGAGATTCACGGTCCCAGTAAGCATTGACCACAAGGCGAGCAGCAGAATCGCGGCAAGGGCCCAAAACTTGTACCGGCCTTTCGCAAAGAGGGCGGAATAACCGCTTTCCTTCTTCGCGTTCGCTGAAACCGCCGTCGTCGCCGCGACGGAAGAACTGCTTAAAGGTAAAGTGTCGCCATCCTTCATTGGCGCAGAGTTGAGCGGTCGTAAACGAACAAGTATTGAATCTGTAAGGGAGCGTCGTTTTTCTTCCGAATCTGGAAAGAAGTAGAAGACGAATGTGGAAAAAATGCTTTGCTTATATATACAAAAATTCCCAAATGATATAATTAGACCTTTGTATGTAGAGTTCTTTAGGACCAAAAATACCCAATTAAAATATTTTACTGAAGCAAATGTTTTTCATCGCGAATGAATTACTTGATTAATTTTGATGGGCAAGATTTAATTTGATAATCCCTTCATCTTGAGATCTCAGTTTAGTACTTATCGAAAGAAAAGGTAGCACATTACATGAAAAAGCCAAAATTGATTAAAGTTTTTGTAAATCTAAAAATAACATACAGAAAACTATTTCCTGTTTATAAAACAATCCTAAAAGATTTGCTTGTTATTGCTTCTAATCCTCTTCAAACAAACTCATAAAAAGTTATTCCAAATTATTAATTGTTCCAGGTAAGCAAGCAATATGAGGAAAAGAGGGATTTTTGATTCAGAGAACTACACAAATACGAATGATTAATTAGATTTAAACCAATCGAACTAAATTAAAGTTACACAACTTTGAGGGTTTTTAGTTTTTACAGAGTTTTTAACTTTGTAAAAATTAAATAGTAACCCAAAACCAAAGGAATACTTGTATTTTTATTAATCCCGCTAAGTTTTGTTGGTTTAGAAAGTTTTGTACTATCGGGTATAGTATATAAATCAGTTTAGTAGACCTTAGGATTTGATAAATAACCTCATAATTCAAAATTCACCGACTCGGTTGATGTATTAAAAACTAAAAAAAAATGAATAAAACTGAAGAAAACGAATGACAATTGAACAAAACAAAATTAATTTTCGATATGCAAATCGGCGGGAGGAAGAAAATGATCAACCGAGAGACCCCAAACGTTAAAATCAACTTCTTCGATCCGCCATTTCTCCGTCATTTGTCTCCGATGATTCGCCGACGCTTCCCCATACCGGAAAACCGTAACGGACGTTTTTCCACCGTGAGCAATGTTCACATTATCCACATACCGGTAATCATCCATCACCGACTCGGCGCTAGTCTCCCAGAAAACGTCATCGTCTTCCTTCGTCCGCATTCTCAAAAGTCGCGAGTCCTCGAACTGAATCAATAGTCCCGACCTTTGACTGAAATAACCCCAAATCGTATGATGAATGATCTCGAAATTCGGACCGCTCTGAGCCTCTCGAACCGCCGGACTTGTCTCCAGTTTCAGTATAAAGCAATCCTCGCCGTTGATTATCTTCTCTCCGATGCAAGTCGCATCCAGGAACAGATTCGCCGTTGACCGAGGATCTAAACCCTAGTAGCAATAAACCACCGGTTCAACATAACCGTAACTACACCAAAATATATCCTATAACCGGATTGGTACCTGTAGAAACCGGCGTAGGGGTCTCGGCGGCCCCGTAGACGCCGGTGTTTGCTGGTTAGAGGAATGTCGCCATGAAAGTCGACCGTTGCTTCCACATATAACTTTACAGCCAGAGACGACGAGCTCCAGACACCAGAGATCCGGATCTTTTTGCCACAGAACGAAACCACCCATCTCGTCGTTGCTCTTAAGATTAGCGCCGGTGTCATCTCCCTGATGAAACTCTGACGCCGTCATCTTTACTTGTCCGGTGACGCACATACTGTTCACAGCGTTTAACGCCGCCGGTCCTCCCGTCGCCGCTATGTACTGCTGCACGATATATTTTGCCGTCGAAGCTTGCTGCAATCCAATAAGTGATGTATCCATCATCAATAAGTGATTAATTGCACCAGTTTCTGTGAGAATGATTTAAAACACTTACAATGGAGCAATCTTTCACAGGTTTATGAACAGAGTGGCCGACTTGAACCTGGAGAGGTATAAGTGGCGATCCAACGAGATAAAGAAGAAAACGAAGCTCGTTGATACGAGCAGCGATAAGCGGTTGCGACCATTTATCGGACGTTTGAGCTTTCATCCACGTAAGCATATTCTGCCACCTCAATGCAACGTTATTACCCATACCGGAAAACATCTCCTCCGGTATCGGAACTTCCAAAACCGTCTCCAAACCATCGTCTTTGTCTATGTTCGGACACAACTTCCTCATACACTTCCCGCTCCTTCGATTCTTCTTGTTCTTGCGTTTCTCTTTTGTTCTATGGGTGATCGATTGAATGAAACCCACAAATGGTTCGAAGATTGTCAGCACGACTGTGATTCATGAAACCTCTTGTTATTTTGTTTTTTTGTTTTTGTTAATTGGTGATTCCAAAACTTGTTTTCGTTCATGTTTGTTAGTATTTTAAGGTCTTCCAAATGATATTTGTGGTTCACCTTTGTTTTAGGCTATTTTAATTGGAGTTTCGTTTACGTTATTCTATAACTTCGTCCTTAATTAAGTTTGTCTTCTTGAGAACAATATATACGGCGTTGAAGTTGCGATATACACGAGTAATATACATGTATTTATAGCATGCTTACATCGCAATGCATTTATTTAAAGATCAAATGTGCACAGTTATAACTTTGATTGCTTGGTCACGGTTTGCCCTGGTCTTTAGGATTAGTCTTCGGGAAAAAAAGAAAAACTTATTTCCTACTTTTATATTGTTCAAATTCATTTGTTTGGTCTTGGGTTGCCCTCTTCTTTTGGATTCGTATAATAAATTTTATGCTATGTCTTCAAATCAAAAAAATATGCAATTATTTCATACTCTAGTGTAAAACCACAAGCAATTCATGTGTGCATTTTTGGACAAACAATTTGAACCATTTCTTTCTGTAGATAAAAGTATAAAATAAAATCGAATAAATAATGTGTGGTAAATGAACATAACACTCCCATGGGGGCTACTCATTTAAAACCAGAGTCAGCCTTGTCCTTTTCAATAATTGGTCCAACTAAAATATGACAAACAATGGCGATTTCGAAAAAGAAACAAATATAGAAAAAATAATAATTACCAGACATGCAAATAATTTGCAAACATTTCAAATTTTACATGCATAAACTGAAATCCCATAAACTCCATTAACGTATTGTATCAGCCCAATTATATTAATACACTGGTCTTGTAGTACTTTATAATAATAACAGATTTGATTTTTCTGGATTTTGAACAAGTGTTCTTTTTTTTGTCTCTATTTCAAATTTCTTTTGTATTATATATAAGTTATGGATGCAGTTTCCAGATCAAAGACTATAGAATATCGAATACCACACAATCATGCGATTTTTAGGATTCGTGTTTAATATTTGTTCTTGCAAAGGTAATAATAGTTGGCAGATTTCAAATTTATTAATCAATAACCAAATGTTTAGATGTGAAGACACAAAAACAAAACAATAAAGAATGATTGCTATTTATGTGAGTGAATAAGTTTCATTTCGCCCGTTCTGAATAAGTTGTAGTAACCGTGTACGGAGAACCTAAATCAGATAAAGTATATAGTTATAAGTTTGTGTAACTAAGTACGTATCAAGATGAGAAAACAACAACACAAGATTGTTAAAACAAAAAATTATATAATTCGCTTAACTATATTATTGGATACTAGTGGTTGGAACTGTTTTTTTGGACCATATGCTAAGGAATTTGTAAGCTGGCAGAATAGTGTGTTTATGGAGGGACCCATGTCAGCCTAAATAATTCTTCCTTTGAAACTAACAAGAAAAAAGCAATAAAAGGGACCCAAATTAATTAATTTAGATGTTTGTAAAGTCAAATACTAGTTCTAATGGACATTTGTATAGAAGGAACAATACGTACTAGCTTTATACTCCTACAAATCTGAATGAAAACTCCATGTTAAAACCTTTTCTTTTAACACGGCAAGCCATCTAATGCAGAAACTTAAACACTAATCTAAGATAATCTCATAAATACTATAATGGACAACCAAGTTTTGCTCTTTCTATTTTATTATATCTGCTGCCAATTTAAGAAATGTATTTACTCTACATATCATCAAATCATTTTTAATAATAACTCTTGTATTTATATATTGATCATATTATTATAATATATAGTGGTTTGAAATAATACTGGCACTATGTTATTATCTGAAATTTGTTTTCGTATTTAATAGATTTCTATTAATATCTTCTTTTTATTTGTTCAAATTGATTTCTGTTAATATCTATGTATCTCAACGTCCTTTACTATTATGCGAAAGAAACTATTTATTCTAATATTTTAATACTAAAATATTAAGAGGTGTGGCGGTGTAACAGTATGCAGAAATCCAAGCTGGTTTGTGTTTTTCTTTTTCCACCTGTCATCGTCATGTTTATCCAACGGGTGCAAATCATATACAACAAAGACACGTGTCAGCATCTGAGCATCTCAAACGCCTACAAGGCATAAAAAAGCTAAAACAAAGCTGAACGAATAATATCAGAAGGTCAAAGTCAACAAAATCAGACGAACGTTGCATTAAACGGGTTATATAGCTTCGTTAATTATGGAAATACCCAGAAAGAAGAAAACAAATTGCGATTCAAACATTTTGCTACACGACAAAATTCACGGTAAAAATTGATTGATTGTTAAATTTGAAATTTAATTGTGCGGAGCTGGTATTGGTTCAACAACATAATTGAAAATTGGTATGCCGAGGATATTGGGTCCGAGTCCGACAACGGGACGGTAATGTAATACTAATACCTCCTTTATCTACCGGCTTAGGACAGTGACAGTCATTTTTTCTTTTACTTATTTACAAATTCTCACAACTATCAAATCCTATTTATTTTCGTCTATTTAAATCTTTCTAACAATAAAGTAACTCTAGAGATTTTCAGGTCCTCGACGAATATTAAATACTTGGTCAGTTGATTACGTAACATGTACAATACAAAATAATAAAAATCTGATATTGCATTCATTGGGCACTGCAAAAATTCACATGCCATTTTTCTCAGTACACCTTCGTCTATGAGATTTCTCTTTTTGATAAACTTTTATTTTTACTCATCAATGATGTTTGGTGCTTAACTTTTTACACCGTTGAAGAAGAGACCGTTTAAAAAAAAAAAAGACGAAGAAGAAAATGAGGTTAATTAATTTAATATTTTGCATGGGAATTCAAAAATCAGATTTACATACTTGGAACTTGGAGAAGTCGACATAGTTTATAAAGAAAATGTTGGTAAAAAAAAACTTTTAAAAATGCTGAAAAGTTGAGAAGAAAAATAGTAGTATAATTGGCAAACAAAGAGAGAGAAAAGAAGGAGAAGGCCTCCTTTGTCTCGGACAAAAAAAAAAATTGAAGCTTTCACACAAAGTCTCACAAGCCGCCTTATTTTTTCTTGGGTGATTTTTTAGAGAAAGAAAGGTTCACAATCACTTTTTTTCCAGGAAGAAGACGGAAGTACGGATACTCATCCCCGGTGGTATCTCAGCCGTTGGATCAGATCGGTGGATGTAGAGGAAGCGTGTGGAGAGAGTCCTGGGTTAAATGATTAGGAGATTTCTTGGGTAGTGAAGTTTTTTTATTTTCTTTTTTGATTTTTGTTTTTAATCTTTTGGGGAAGAGAGGTCAGAGAGAGTTATCAGAAAAGTTTGGTGGCGGAAAGGGGAAAAAGAGGTTTTTTACGAAAAGCAGATTGACTGGTAGCTGAAGAAGAGAGAGAGAGAGAGAGTAAACAGAGTAGGAGGAGAGAGAGAGAAGAAGAAGAAGAAGCAGATGATAAACCCTAAACTGAGCTGAGATTTGCCTTTTTTGTGTTGAAACTGTGAGGGACAAAGGTCGAATTTTGTGTTTTTGCACATGCCGGTTGATTTAGATAATTCCTCTACGGTTTCCGGCGATGCAAGCGTCTCGTCGACCGGAAACCAAAACCCACCTCCGAAATCCGCCGGGAAGAAGAAACGGAACCTCCCCGGAATGCCTGGTACTTTGAAAATTCGAAACTTTTTTCGTTTTTAATTCGAAATTTTGCTTCGCTTTAAACTGATTTTTTTTTTCTATTTTTTGGCTTGGGTGGTTAAAACCAGATCCAGACGCGGAAGTGATAGCTTTGTCACCTAAAACTCTTATGGCAACAAACCGATTCGTCTGCGAAATCTGCAACAAAGGGTTTCAACGCGACCAGAATCTTCAGCTTCATCGTCGTGGTCACAATCTACCATGGAAACTTCGACAGAGGTCGAGTAAAGAAGTGAGGAAGAAAGTCTACGTTTGTCCAGTGGCAGGCTGTGTTCATCACGAGCCGTCACGTGCTCTTGGAGATCTCACTGGAATCAAGAAACACTTTTGTCGGAAACACGGCGAGAAGAAATGGAAGTGCGAGAAATGCTCGAAGAAGTATGCCGTCCAATCAGATTGGAAAGCTCACTCAAAGATTTGCGGCACCAAGGAGTATAGATGCGATTGTGGAACTCTGTTTTCTAGGTGCGATTTGAGATTTTAAAGAACTCCCATGGAATTTTTTTTTTTTCCTATCTAACTTTAACCTGTGGATTTGGGTTTTTGTTGCAGGAGAGATAGCTTCATAACGCACAGAGCTTTCTGCGATGCGTTGGCTGAAGAGAGTGCGAAGAATCATACTCAAAGCAAGAAACTTTATCCAGAAACAGTCACTAGGAAGAATCCAGAACCTGATCAGAAGTCTCCTACCGTCGTTGATTCTCATCCGCCCCCTCCTTCTCCGCCGTCGGTTGCTCTAGCTCCGACACCTGCTATTTCGGCTGAGACCGAGCCTACTAAAATCGTAACCTCCTCGGTTTTGCCGATTCGAAGTTCTTCAGGTACATAATACAAAGCCTCTGATTGATTGGAAATTTTGGCAATATTGGATTGACTTTTGTCGCCATATGAACTGTGTATGAATCCTCACGTATCTACTATAATCGAAACAAGAACAACTCCAAGAAAATCTAAATGTAATGTTTGGTGATCTTGGAGTTTAGTTGGTTTTGTCTGTAGCGCCGTTATATTTCTTATAGTTTTCTGCAAACTAAATCTTGTTCGTCGTCTTCCATAGCTAAATAAAATAAATCATGTTAATGATCCCATCACCTCCTTTCTCTGTTTGCAGAATCTCCAGAAAACAACGCTCCTGAAGTCATCATCGAGGAAGCTCCAAGAACGATCGGTTTCCATGTGAGCTTATCGGGTCTAAGCAATGATCATAGTAACAACAACGGTGCATACGCAGGCTTGTTTGCAACATCCACAGCTTCGCCTAGTTTATATGCTTCCTCAACTCCTTCCCCAAGCCTATTCGCACCATCTTCCTCCATAGAACCCATCTCTCTGTGTCTCTCGACGAGTCCTTCTTTGTTCGGACCAACAATACAAGACCCACCACATTTCCTAACACCTCTTGCTCCTCAACCCGCAATGTCAGCAACCGCATTGCTTCAAAAAGCAGCCCAAATGGGTTCCACGGGTTCAGGAGGTTCGTTGCTTCGAGGGTTAGGCATAGTTTCAACCACTTCGTCATCTATGGAACTTAGCAATCACGATGGAGCTTCCTTAGCTCCTGGTCTTGGACTGGGACTACCTTGTAGCAGTGGTGGTAGCGGCTCGGGTCTGAAAGAGCTCATGATGGGTAATTCTTCAGTGTTTGGTCCGAAACAGACAACACTCGACTTTCTCGGGTTGGGAAGAGCTGTGGGTAATGGCGGCAATCCCGGAGGGGGATTGTCTGCTCTGTTAACTTCGATCGGAAATGGCGGTGGGATCGATTTGTTTGGGAATGCGGAGTTTTCAGGCAAAGACATTAGTAGGAGTTCGTAAGGGAGACAAAGACGTCAACGTAGAACAGTGTAGTATATAGTCCCGTTTTATTTAAGCATGTACCAGGTTTAGAGTTCTTTTGGGTTTCTTGTTTTAGTGAAAGCTTTACTGTTTGTTATTCCCCAAGTGGGTTTTGTCATAAAGTACATAAAGCTTCTAGCTAGCTGCAACAAAATGAAATTGTTTGTTTTTTTGTGGTCGTCTATGATTCACATACGTATGTGTTAATGGGTATTGATGATAATAATGAGCACATGATGGTGATGATGACAATCAAATGGGGCACGAAGTTTCTATTATTAGTGTGTTGCTTGCTGTCTGAAAACGCTGAATCGATTTTTTTGCACATTAATGGGAAATATCAGAAGATGAGATCGACTTGACTTATCCCAAAAGTAAATCTTTAATCTTTTGGAAGGTGGGATATTTTTGTAAACAACTTTCAAAAAGTAAAATGGTCTAATTTTGGCCAGATAATTTCGAGATATAATACCAATCGACTTGACCAGATGATTTGATTGGAGAATCGACCAAAGATTTTGGATTTTGATGTTTCAATCGCATCGTAGGTCCATAATAGTGATGGAATTATCATGACAATTCAACCCAAAAAGACGTTATGTCTTTTATTTTCAAATGGAGAGATTAGACTTTCACATCATATTATCTATCCGATTTTATTACTAACCCATACCAAGAGATATTACTAGACATGAGTCTCATAAACAAAACCTTTTAAAATGGCCATAAATATTTGAAGCCCATTGATAGAAAGACCATTTCAAGTTCACAATAGCTATTACTCAATTGGGCCACAATTATCGAAACTACGGAACCTCTTTTTTGTTTGGTAAACGATTTGCTTAAAATCCTCTGCAGGCATAAATTCCGATTTTACCCTCATCGGCTGATGAAATTTACGCAAGAGCTATCGGCTGCAGATTAAGGAGGTTGGTAATAAGGGTATCTCAGAAACTGGAGATTTTTTATATTTTCTCCTTATGTGGCTTTCACTTCTTCAATCGTGAAACCTATTTCCTGCCAAGAGAGACGGAAAAGTCCCTTAAAGATTTAAGAATCCGGTAATTGTTTAGCATCCCTCATCAAGTATTTGAAACTGGGTTTTGTTTAAGGCTTCGTTTTTAGTCGGTGTTCGGTGTAGCTTTGGTGAAAAACCTTTCCTTTTTTTTTTTTTTTAAATCGATTTCAGTCTCTAAGATTCACGATTTTCTTTATTGGTTGTTTGGGTTAGATGTCAGCGACTGCTCTCTCAAGATTGAACACTGTTTCTCAATTTGGGTTTCAACGAATCGCTGCTGGGAAAAGTAAGAGCTTCTTCTCCAATTCCGGCGAAAGGAGATTGCTTTCTGATAGCTCCCGGTTTCGTCTAGCCGGAAGGAGACACGCCATGGCTGCTTCTGGTTCTTTGCCAGTGTACGGGGACGCTTGCCTGGATGATTTGGTTACAACTTGTGCAAATGGCTTAGATTTCACTAAGAAGCGTTCTGGTGGTGGTGGCGGCTTCAATGTTGATTCCCCTGTAGCCAGCATGAGACTTGGGAGGAGAGAGCGGATGAAGAACCGACTGGTCTGCCACTATTCTGCAATTGATCCGCTCGTCAAGAGTCGAGCACTCTTTGGTACATTGTCAAAGAGTGTTCATACATCTTCCACTGTTTGTTTCTCGTTAGGACCAGCTCATGAGCTGTCTTCTCTCAACGGTGGCTCTCAAGACTCAGAGCTTTCAGGCTCTCCGCCAACTACTACATCTCTTAAGTAAGTTTCTTCACACTTTGCGCTAAATCTTTCTCACCAATGGTTTCAGAGTTACCTTGTATGTGTTTTGAGCAGGAGTCTGAAGCTAGTGTCTGGTTCCTGTTATCTCCCGCATCCTGAGAAAGAAGCTACAGGTGGAGAAGACGCTCACTTTATCTTAGATGAAGAACAAGCTATTGGAGTTGCAGATGGTGTTGGCGGTTGGGCGGAAGTTGGCATTAACGCTGGACTCTTCTCTCGTGAACTAATGTCTTATTCAGTATCAGCTATTCGAGAACTGGCTAAGGGTTCCTCTATCGACCCGTTAATGGTTTTACAGAAAGCGCATTCTCAAACCAGAGCCAAAGGCTCTTCCACGGCTTGTATCATCGCTTTGACAGATAAGGTAGTTTTGCTTCCGAGTGAACAAAAACCCGCATTGTCTAGGTACTTGTGTCTAAAACGTTTGCTCTTTCAGGGATTACACGCTATTAATCTGGGAGACAGTGGGTTCACGGTGGTTAGAGATGGGACGACGGTGTTTCAGTCACCGGTTCAGCAACACGGATTCAACTTTACTTATCAACTAGAGAGTGGAAACGGCGGCGATATGCCCAACTCTGGCCAGGTCTGTTCTAATCCTTAATGATAACTGCGAGCTGATTAGAATTAATATCTAAGATCTCTTCGTTGTGGGTATTCGAATTAGGTATTCATGATTGATGTGGAGTCTGGAGATGTGATTGTGGCGGGAACGGACGGTGTGTATGATAATCTATACAACGAAGAGATCACAGGAGTGGTGGTTAGTTCGGTTAGGGCTGGGTTAGACCCGAAAGCCACGGCTCAGAAGATTGCGGATTTGGCTCGTCAGAGAGCAGTCGACAAAAAACGGCAGAGCCCTTTCTCAGCGGCGGCTCAGGAGGCTGGCTTCAGGTATTACGGAGGAAAGCTCGATGACATCACCGCCGTCGTCTCTTACGTCACACCAGCGTAAGGCGAAACTCCTTCAACTTCATCTTCTGTGTTACCGCCAAAGATCCTTTCTTTTTTCCTTTTTCTTTTAAATTTTGCAACGGTAACAACTGAGTTCTATCTATAACATGAATTTATTTGTGTTTTCACGGAATTAAAATAAATCTAGCTATTTTAACACCCCCTAAAAAAATATAATAGCTTTTGTTATCAAACATGAATCCTGTAAAACTGAGTTTAATAAGGTGAAAGCTCCCATTTTGATCAGATATGTATTACTCTTCTAATTTCGACATATATACTCAAAAAAATTCTCTTGAAATATCAAACCAATAAGAAAAATACTTGGCCTAACAAAATATGTTCTAACATTTTCCTTCTTTTTACCCTGTCAAGTTCGTATTGCTATACTTTTAGTTTCTTCTTGTCACCGTTATGAAATGGAGAGTTTATACTTTCGTCACTTGGACATACAATTTTTGAAGATCCTGAGAAAAGGAACGATCATATTCATCATTTTGTTTTTCTTCTTCTTCTTCTTCTTGTTTATCACCTTCAGCCCGGGACAGTCACAGACAACACGATCTTGAACCAGATTGCTTGTTGAATCCTCGGCTACGTTGGCTCTACTGTTCGATGAAGCAGCATCTTCTGAACATAAGCTTCTAAGCAATTTTGTAAGTGAATCTGTAATCTCTTTGAACTCGGGTCGAGCTTTAGGATCCTCTGCCCAGCATGCTTGAAGTATAGAAACAGCTCCTTCCGGAAGATTCTCCAGACTTGGTCTCTGGTTCTGACGAAAGCAAAAGATTTCATAGGACAGATCAATGTCATGTTCAAGTGAATTTTGAGCTTTAAAAATGTGGCTGGCTTACTTTACTGGCAGCATAAGCTACAAAGATGTTGTTCTTTCCTTTGAATGGGGTTTTGTTGGTAAGCAACTCCCAGAAGACAATAGCGAAGCTGTAAACATCCACCTTATGATCGTAGTGTTTCTTCTCGCCAACTTGAAGCGCCTCATGGCTGAATAACTGAGAAACAAACAAACAAACAAACACCCTGTGAAACCAAGAGACTGAAACCTATAAATGGAAGCAAGAAATCTGAAACAAATCACCTCAGGGGCCATCCATCTATAGGTACCAGCTTCGCAAGTCATGAAACCTTTAGTTTTCTCTCTAGCAAGTCCAAAATCCGCCAACTTTACATGTTTTTGATCACCTGTTAAGAGCATATTACCTGCACAGAGCCATACTTGTTCGATTCACAAACTTGATTCCTCTTTTGGTGATATTGCAATTTAGCTAAATAAACCATTTTACTTGGTTTCAAATCACGGTGAATGATGCCATTTGCATTCAAGAACTCCATTCCCCGAGCAATATCCAAGGCAAAGCTAATGGAGAGCTTAAGATCAAGAGGCTTTGGACGAATACTCAGCAAAAACTTGTGAAGAGTGTTGCCTTCCATGAGTTCAGTAATTATCATCAACCTTGGTTCTATGCAGGCCCCAATAAACTGTCATCAAAAAATGATTACATTGAGGGATTACCTAATGATATAAGGCTAATATATATGAAAACATCAAAGCATCAAAGGGTTCCATATTATTACCTGCACAATATTTTCATGTTGAATCTTGGAGAGCAACAGAACCTCCCTTTGAAACTTTTTCTTCTGCTCAGTGCTTACAGTAGATGTTCTTCTATGCTGGAATATCTTCACTGAGACAGGGTTGACTTTCCTGAACCTAATAATCATCCATCCATGGAGAAATGTTAATGCAAAGAAAGATTACACATTGAAGTACTTTGATTACCTTGCATCAGACACAATATAAACTTGGAACACTAAAAACTTGTACTACATAGCACTTCCTCCTACTTTTTTATCATCCCATAAACCTTTGATCGAGTTAATCAAATTCCATAATAATTCTGAGAGTAACAAAACACTTTCACATTCAGGGATAACATAATTCACCGAGTTTTGACCAAGAAAAATCTGTAACCATCGTAAAAGATCCCAAAATTCGACCTGATGCTCGTTTCAATCGGCAATAAACCCTTAAACCTATACTCTTATAATAGGTTAAAGGCTCGAAATTTTGAAGAATCTTAACGATGTCAAACCCAAAACCATGATAAATCAAACAAATACCGAAATCAAGAAAGGAAACAACAAAATCGCATTCTCATCAAAACCCAGTACCAAAACACGGAATTTAAAGTAGGGATTGAGAAACGAAAAACCCACAATCCCTTGTAGACTTTTGAAGATGAACCTTCGCCGATCGCTTCCCCTAAAGATACGTCTTTGGCATCGACAAGCAAGTCCGTGTTAATGCTGAAAGCGAATTGATCGTCGAAATCGAGGTTTGAGTCGTCGTCGTCGTCGTCGTCGTCCGATTCAAACGACTTGTGACCAAGTGAGGACATGAGAAATGGGTAATTTGGATGAAGCGTCTTCTCCGTCTCAATCTCCGTTGCTTCCTCCACTGACGGAGCTCGTTGGTACCCGCGAGGTCTCATTCTGAAGCGAGCGATGAAGACGAGAGAGAGTAAAAGTGTGACGCTGCTTACTTATATACCCGGAATGTTTTGGGGTGCTTCTGTAAATCCTATCAAATTTGGGAGCTTTTGAAAAAAAAAAAAAAATTCAAAAAGGGAACTGGATGTGGAACGGGAGGGAAAACAAGGGGAAACTTTATCATAAGTCTCTACAAAATCACAAATTCAAAACACATTTTAATATCAACCTTGTAATATCCGTGTTTACAACTTGTAAACGAAGATTGTTAAACTTATAGATGAAGATTATTGAAAAGAAAACAACGATAAATTTTTTTGATAAATTAATATATCGTAGATTTATAAAAGGCATCTTAATCCATTAAATATATATTTAGTTCTAATAACTTCGTGCAATCTCCATTATTAATAAGAAAATTATATGGTTGGGAAAAAAAGGGAACTCTAGTCTTTATCTATACAAGATTTTTAATAAATAAATGAAAAACTAAGTAATGAAATTAGGAGTTTCTGTTTCAGCTGCATATATAAAACAAATATGGTAACTAATGATATGAAATAGTAGTTTTCACAATTCTGTATACTTTCTATGAAATAATATCTTAACTGTGTACATATATAGCAGATATACTGTGATAGATATAGTAATCGTCATTTTTTATTTATGGAACAAGGAAAACAAAATGTGAAAACCCAAGTAATATATTAAAAGAAATATTTATAAAGACTACATTTACAACAATTTTATCCAGCATCTATTTCTACATCCATAATAACATGTCTTTCATCCATAATTAAAACTCCAACTATGAAGTTGTTAAAATTAATTATACATACAAACATCCCAATACTCCATGTTTTGTAAGTAATTATTATCTGACATGTAAAATGGGATATTGTAATTAGTTTCCGGGGCAAACTCGAAATCAATCGGTGCATCGTTGGCTTCAACGGAGAGTGATGAACTTGAACTGTTTGTTGACAATTCTTCGAGTCGTCCCGAAAGTTTTCGAATTTCATTTTGAGCCTCACTCAATTGATCTGTCAGTTTTAATACCTACAAAATAAAATTGCAGACATATATAATTAATAACACCGATAACTTCGTTAAAAAGTAAGATTTACAATTCAATTTTAATACCAGAAAGCATACTGCAAACATAAGTTTCTTCACAAAAAGAAAATATTGTATTTTGACTATTCAGCATCAACTTTTCAAAAAAAAAAAAAAGTTTTAGTAACAAGTTAAATTTAGATATGAGATGAGGATGTTTCAGGCATGTCAGGCCAAAGTGCAGAAAAGGATGTATACGTGGCATTAACGGAATGGCAACTGTGAATGGGCTATATCATGAGCCCAACTAAGATTTTGTACGGACGGAACTATTTTTAAAACGTTGGATAAGAATAAGATGACGAACCATCCACTCATGTCATCTGTGGGCCCCTCGCCTCCCCGGATTGAAATATTCTTTCTAGTTTTAAAATTCGATTTAACTTATATTTTTCACATATGCGTGAATATTGAAAATCTCAACTTATGAACACTAATTGTATCATATATGTCTCTGTATACGTTTTTTAAAAAATCCAAAAAATGTAAGAATTACTCATCTAAATTTTTTTAAAATAGTCAACATGATAATATTGGGCAAAACATAAATTCATTAGAATTTTTTTTATTTTATAATGAAAAAGCTGAAGATGATGATATACCTGAGACTCAAGCTGACATTGGCCGAGGACAACGGTGTCGTGTTGGCTTTTGAGTTTGGCGTATTCTTCCTCGAGTTTCTTGTTCTTCCATCGTGCACGGCGGTTTTGGAACCAAACTGCCACCTGTCTCGGGTCAAGACCCAACTCTCCGGCGATCTTCTCTTTCCTCCCTGACTCAAGCTTGTGCTCGTTCTCGAAGCTATATTCGAGCATATTCACTTGCTCATCGGTCAATTTCCTCTTCCTGAACATCCCTCCGATCATCGCCACATCATCTTCGTTTGTGGCCGACGACCCTTTGCTCTTCCTCTTCCTCCGCCGTTTCACCGGTTTAGATTCTTCGGCTGGTGATGATCCATCGATTTGGTTAACGATGATGCACTGTGAATGTTGGGTTTGGACCGTGTAGGGGTACACTTGCGAGCCTAGCACCATTTGATCCATTCTTTCTCTCTTTGTCTCTCTCTCTGGTTTTTTTAGAAAAGAGTTTTGCTGTTTTCTCTGACTATGTTTGAAGGAGAGTGATGCAATAGGATATGACTTTGGTGAGGTTGAAGTCCTATGAGATGCCTTTTATAAGCTGCAAGATTGTGACCTTATTCTTGGGCTGTTTTTCTCTTTATTTACACTTATGCCAATCTTTTTTTTCCGGGTAATAAATACCTCGAATTAAAAATTATTGTGCGCTAGTATAATTACAAATTAAAATATACATATGTTGTCGACAAAAAAAAAAAATATACATATGTTTATGTTCTATGGGATGTACGTTAGAGGATAATACACTTACACGTTTTTCATAAATCTAGATATTATTAGTAGATGTGTACTACTAAAAGTGAAAGGCAATTTCTTGTAGCTAGTTTATTCAATTGGTAAGATAATTAATCAAATTATATATATGTATATATGTGTGTGTGTTGAAACATTTTCGAAAGTGTCTCTGTGTTCAAAATTTTAATTATAATAAAGATTGCCACATTCCATCATAAATTTAATTTTTCATGAAAGTAGGAAAACATATAACAGAGGTGGGTGACAATTGTGGACAAGGAGACGTGATGTGGATCCCGAAGACGACTAAATTCTGGAGTAAGTAAACAAGTGATCCCGATCTCAAGTGGATAACTATTGGATATTGATGTTTTTTTTTTTTAATTTAACTTGTTTTGTCTACAAACTGTACAAATGTGTACATAAACTATCCCTGTCTTTTGGTTATTTTAGTTTATACTGTTAATTAGTCAATTTTATAGGTCTTTTTTCTTTGTTTTCGGAGCTCGAGACCACTCATTTCCCTTTGAAAAGCAATGTGCTCCTCCTTTTTCCGTTTTCCCTACAAATTATTATTTAACACTAGTGTAGTGACTATAGTCTATAAGCCTACAACCATGCACGAATCTTCCCGAAATTTCTTTATATACTATATATTTATTCAAACATCGTTCTCTATTTTTCTTGATCAACTGTTATAATATTCCATCGTGCGATTAAGTGAACATAACCTGTTTTGCTTTGTACGTATACGGAACATTAAAACCCCTTCTTTGACGGAATTTCTTCGGCCATGAACTATCATGTAATGCAATTGCTCGAAAAAGAACAAAAAAACTACCATGTACATGAGAATGAGATCAAAATCATATTACCTCATGAAGATAAGAATCCATCAATAGTTTTTACGAAATTAGACGACTTGCGTATCATCGACGTTGAACTGTTGAAGGCATGTGAGACTACGGTCATATTTTATAAGTTTTAGAATTTGGTGTAAGAAAATAATATCTAAAAGGGAAAAACGTACACTACTTTAAATTTACCAAAGGCCTTGTGGATTGCGCCTGGTTTGTTAGGGTTTTACTCCCAAATACTCGAAAGTGGAGAGAAAAATATGTTGAAAAAAAAATATATAAATTGGCATGATTAAAGGTTTAAAATAGTGTAGGTTGTTAAAAGGAAAAGAAATAGTAGTCTACACTTTCATTATAGAAAAATGGACACTTGATGAAAAATAGAATAAAGGTTATATAGTGTGCTTTTTTTAGGTGTGTAATGCGTAGGAACTAGGAAACGAACAGGAATCATAGGAAGGTATATAATTAGGAAGAAATAAACAATTCACAGAAGAAGGAAAGGAAAATGTATTCCGACATTGAGTGACGGCTATGCACGTGAGGTTCACGTGGCCTTCAGAATGGAGACTAGGATAAAATTCACCTTATCTACTGTACTTTCGTTGCAGGTTTAAAAAAAAAAAAAAGAGATCATAATTTGGGATCAAAGTGTCAAAATGTTTCACGTAACTCACTGTACATATTATTTTGCTTACCGGAAAACGACTTGAAGGTTAGAGATTAAAGATAACAGTTTGACAAAAATGGATAATTAGTTATAGAACCAATTTTCTGTATCGTATATTAAAGATCAATTGTCTCGACATCTTTATAACCATGTCTTTAATAATTATCTTTATTTGAATACAATTTTATCAGGTTTTTTCGGGTAATTTATATTTGCTATTCTTCATCCAATCAGAACATGAAACCGATAAAAGTTTTTTTAGTTGCATGTCCCCCCTTATAGCTTTTTCACAATTGGAGGAAGACACATCATACAACTCAAAGTCTTTTTTTCCAGGCGTACAAATATTTTTAATATATATTATATAAATGGTGTGCAGTGTCGGGCCATCATTTTGTCTCTTATAAGCTATAATGTCACATTCGCAAATTCGATGCACTGATTAGTGTAGATTTATGTTATTTAGTTTCGTGAAAGAACAGTACTATTTGTTATATGGGGAAGGAAGCACATGTTCATAATAATATGGTATGATATGGTTTACACACGAGATAAGATAAGAGTTATAACGTTAATCTCGTTTATGCGAAGATTAATATGTGGACTCGAATTTTGGTTTTGTAACAAAATAAATATTAAAATGTAAATAAGTAAAAGATTATGACGAAGAAAGGAAAGTGGGTGACAAAGACAAGTTCCACGCAAGTGAATGAGTGATGGAAAGTTAAGAGGTCACATGGGTGTGCTCTCTAATTGGGTTACGTGTCGTCTCCCTGATACTCCTGTTTCTTTGGACCACACTTCTCCTTCTGCCACGTGTTCACTCACCTTCCCTCCGTCCCCGGGCCTCTCCTTCCTCAGATTCCATCTTTGACTTACCGTTTGCATATTTTTTTTTTATTTTTTATTTTAAATACTTGAATCTGTTATTATTGGTCAGTCAAAAACTGGTTTGGTGATTTATTTTTATTTCGCCTGTGCAAATATAAGTACTATATATTTCGGCTCTAGTAAAAAAATGAAATTACGCTAGCACGTATAGAAATACGAATGAACGTAAAGAGTGTTTACGAGGAATCACGTATATATAAAATCTCTAGTTAAAAAAAAAAAAGGGATCACGTATCTCTTCTTTTTCTTTTGTTGCACTCTGGTTAAAGAAGAAACATTTGACTTTTAGACACTTCTAGTTCTATCAACATCCATTGTAAAGTTAAAAACAACAACAACAAAACAAGCAGTTAGTACAATTTGCTTGATTATTTACTTATTCCTTTTTTTAGGATGGAAGAATTTTGGCTCAAACTTAGCTAGATTAGTTATAGAAATCCAAAATATCCACAAAGAAACGTATGGCTGATGAAATTGTTCTCTTGCTTTTCCATTGTTTGATTATAAATGTTTAGTTTTATATATCACTTCTATTTCTATACTCGATCGATAATGCATACAAAACGGTACATCTAATGATATAAAGTTGAAACTAAGAAATTTTCATATTTATTTATGTTTGATGTAATTATACTAATCGTTGATATCGCATTAGAAAACGACATGGGACATGCTTCCTGCATTACTGTCACACCATTGAAGTCGCTGACGCTTGTATATAAAAACATACGAAATTTATCTTGAATTTAATTTGTGTTCTATTGAGTCTTAACCACTAAGCGACGATATATATGTGGTTTTATATTCACTTTAAGTGGGTAAATGTGTCTAATTTTAAGTTAGTTTAATGGCATGTGTAACGTAAGGATCGCTTAGACTTTAAATCTATGGTCCTAATTGATACATGATATGGATAAGATTTGGAGTTTGCGTAGCTTTTGTTTACTCTTGTCTAAATATGGGATTCAAGACAAAAGTTGTAATTAATGAAGATAGGGATTCAAACCCAACGCACCAATATTGTCAAACTCTAGTTTGAAAGTAACGATAGATTCATACAGTCGTTAATTAGGGTTTGTTTCTTATATTCATAGGTGTATACATATATAGTAAAAAAAAAAAAAGGAAAGAAGAAATAAAATAATTTGTATTAAATTCGAAAGAAGATGCGCATATGGCACGGGATAGATTCCTTTTCTCATATGCTTTTGAGTTGGGACTTACGATTTATTTGTCCTTTTTAATTGTATAATACTCCCTGTATAGTTCTTTCAAATTAACTAATCCGAATTAATTATCACTAAAGCAAATTGATTAAAAGATTTAAATGTCATGTTTATCCCAACATTTGCCTTCCTTGTTTCCCGTACTTCCAACTCTCCCTATGCTTTGCGTAACAGATAGATAATTGGGTAGAAAGATTCCATACGTTTTTGCTTTCTTTAATTAATCAACATTTTCGTACTATAATGATCATATTATATTCCGACTGTGCTGGCAACTGATTAGCACTAATAAAGTTTAATCAGTAAGACTATATGCATCAGTAAGAGTATTTGAAGGCAAGTACTGCATGGATGGACAAGCTGATCCATACAAGATTCGATATGTAATTCTATCCTAAACATTTGGACATCTAAATTAAGTAGTTGGACAAACTTCCATACAATTAATCTTTTAGGTCCAAAATCGTGATTCCAATACTTATATATAAACAGATTTATTAATATTTGATTGTGACTTATGATACAACGAACTTGGTTATAACTTGAATTTGATTCTGGAACTGTATATTAATAATAAATACTAAAAGCAATGTGATAATTCAACAATCTAAAATGATTGTAATAAAGTCGATACTTGCATGAAAATGAATCCGAATGTCACTAATTTAAACCTTTTTAATTATAACGAGTAGCTGACATTGACCAATAGCGACCCCTAAGTTACGCCACAGTTTATGGGATTGTTAGTGATTAGTTAATCCACAATTAATGTAGATTACTCGGAAACCCAGAGAATGGTTTTTTGGACTGGTTTGGTTAAAACTATCAAATACTATAAAAACCGAGTCTCAGTTAAAAACGTCAAAGTTAACCAACCCCACGTTTACAAGATAAATTAGTCGGATGACTCGGATCCTTCAAATTTGAAAGAGACAAAATACGGATTATAAAAGTCAGATTTGTACGCTTTTATATTTTACTCTATACAAAAATACGGACAGTCGTTTTTTTTTTTTTTTTTTTATCACTGTTATTCTTTAGAAAACAATCTGTCTACTACTGTTTTTTTATTACATTTGCAAAACCGATTTCTAGTATTTGCGATATTTAGGCTAGGCAATACTCTTAAATACAATGTTTCAATAAATTATAGTTTTAGCATATATAGTAACGTAATATTTTTTATTATCAGCAATAGTTTTCATTTGTCATTTTTTGTTTTGTTTTTGTGAAACGTTGTCGACTACCGTAAAGCTTAAAGCTACAAAACATCACCAAGAAAATTAAAGTGCTATCTACTTTATGGTGATTAAGATACTAAGTAAAGATTCTTATATTGATTTATATGATGGGTTATATAAACATTCACGATTAAAATAAAGAGAGAACCCGTGGTAAAATTGATAAGTCACGTGGATCCCTATCGTCCGCTTGTATAAACATTGTTCCGAGCTGTATTCTCGTACAAACTTACAAAACATGGAGCAACTTTAAGCACATGATAACAACTAGTGTTAATCATAAAACCAGAAGAAGATTTTAATTAATCGCTATATATTATTGATAACAATCATTAATTTGTTTACTGAACGATAATGTGAAAACAAGTATCGTGCTCCGGCGGCGACATTGTCACTAGCGGAAAGAAAATCAATCTGTCGGAATAAAAAATAAGTTGTCTTATATCCAGCAACACTGGAGTGGGCTTTATTTGAATTCTATGGTGGTTTGATAATCTTTGGTTCAGATCCTCATACAATTTTTAGTTAGCAGCACATCTGCACATGCGAACCAAATTTTATATCGCGTAACATACAATTACAATACATGATAAGTGTTTTTAATTAATTCAGAGATTTCTTATTGATAGACGTTTAATGTGATCTGTTTTTAATGGAGAGAGGTATAAGGCTTAGATTGAGTATAGAAACTCCAAGGTTACAGTTACTCTCGCGCCAGAAGTCGTTAAGAAACCCAAGAAGCCGTTAATCATTGCACATCTAGATGATCTCTCTCTGGGGGTTTTCTTGAAAACATGTACAATGGGCAGTTGCATTGAGCGTCACGACATTTGGAGCTGGACGTTCCAGAACAGCGCCAAGAGAACCTCATGTCGACCGCAGTGCCGGTCCAATCAAAACGGTGGTCCGTAAAAAAAAAATGTGGCCCTTTATAATTTTTTTTATAATAAAAAGTATACTATAAAAAAACCAAAAAATATAAGAAAAATTTAAAACAATTAGTATTGAAAAAAAATCTAAAATCTACTTCTTAAAAATAATTCTTCTTGCATTCTTCGCGGCAAAGTCGTCCATTAGACTCACATAGTCTATCTCTTCAACCATAGCTTTTTCAATTGATAATAAAGCTAATCCATTCAATCTCTCTTGCGACATAATAGATCGCAAATAATTCTTGATGAGCTTTAGTTTGGAGAAACTTCTTTCAGCGGTTGCAACAGATACCGTAATCGTCAATATTATTCTGTAAGCAATCGATGTATTTGCATAATAAGCTTCCCTACTTCTCAAAAAGTCCAACACATCAATAGGTTTTCTTACTTCCGTTGGTAATACTTCTCGAAGAACTTTTAGTTCTGAAAACAAATCATCCCCATCTATATCAGATTGTTCACCGTTCTTCAAAGAAACCTCAAGGTTCATACACGATGCTCTTAAATTATCGGCAGCAACAGACTTTAGCTTTTTCAAATCAAACAGAAAACCAAAAGTTTGTTCATACCTTTGGAATTGCTCAAATCTTGTCTCAAGGGATACCAAAGCTTGATCCATGAGGGTGATGAAGTAATTAACTCTGAAATTCTCCTCTGGTGATACTTCAAGGTTATCATCAACTTTTCCAGGATCCTCATCATACTTCTTTTTTTATTTTTATAAAACGTTTTCTTTTCTCAGGAAACTTGGCTTCGATCTCCATAGCGTCTGCAATTTTTGTAGCCTCAGATTTTGCTGAATCAAAACCTGTTTCTCTATACTTCTGAAAAAATGAAACTAGCCCTTTCAGTTGCTCAATGGCGACATTGATATCAATGTCTTGTGACTGTAAAGATTTACTCACAGTGTTGACAACAGATAGAAGATCATACCAAATAACCATGCCAAACAAGAATTCAAAACCTCCAATACCGTGTGTTTCACTTAATGCAAGAGATTCAGCTTCACTTCGTGTTTTTGGATCATCCGAGTCTGCCAAGGAAAGTAAAGCATCCCTTATTGCAGGCGCTTGGAATCGTATTGCTTTGACACTCTCAACACGACTCTCCCAACGAGTTTGAGATAAAGATTTAACTGTCAAACCTTCCACCATCTCTTTAAATACATCCCACCTGTTTGTTGAAGATGAAAACAAACAGTATATTCGCTGAATGATTCCGAAAAAAGACACTGCCTTTTCTGAAGAAGAAGCTATATCACAAAGCACAAGATTCAAGCTATGACAACCACATGGTGTATAAAAGGCCCTTGGATTAATCTCAAGCAATCTCTTTTGCACTCCTTTATGTTTTCCTTTCATATTGGATCCATTGTCATAGCCTTGACCTCTCACATCATCAATATCCAATTCAAGACCAACCAATGCATCTTGAAGAGTAGAGAAAAGTCTTTCGCCAGATTTATCATCTACTTTCAAATATGTCAAAAAAAATTCTTCAATCTTAGTTGAAGTTGCAGAAACATCTACACACCGAATAATCAATGTCATCTGCTCTTTATGGCTGATATCTGGGGTGCAATCAAGAATCACTGAAAAGTACTTTGAAGCCTTAATCTTCTTTATAATCTTAAGTCTGATATCAGTGGCCAATATTTCTATCAACTCTTTCTGTATCTTGTGACTAAGATAATGAGAATATATCTCTCCTTGCTCAATTCGCCTGACATGCTCCCGCATAACTGGATCAAACTCTGCAATCATTTGAATAAAACTCAAGAAATTTCCATTATTTTCTTCTCCAATCTTGTCACTATCTCCACGAAATGCCAAATTATTCTTTGCAAGCGTCTTCACCACTGCAAAAATCCTCAATAGTACTTCTCGCCAATGATTCTTCTCCTTTCTAATTTCTTCTTGAGCATCCAAAGCCTCTTGATCTTAAGCTCTCCATTAGCTTTGCCTTGGATATTGCTCGGGGAATGGAGTTCTTGAATGCAAATGGCATCATTCACCGTGATTTGAAACCAAGTAAAATGGTTTATTTAGCTAAATTGCAATATCACCAAAAGAGGAATCAAGTTTGTGAATCGAACAAGTATGGCTCTGTGCAGGTAATATGCTCTTAACAGGTGATCAAAAACATGTAAAGTTGGCGGATTTTGGACTTGCTAGAGAGAAAACTAAAGGTTTCATGACTTGCGAAGCTGGTACCTATAGATGGATGGCCCCTGAGGTGATTTGTTTCAGATTTCTTGCTTCCATTTATAGGTTTCAGTCTCTTGGTTTCACAGGGTGTTTGTTTGTTTGTTTGTTTCTCAGTTATTCAGCCATGAGGCGCTTCAAGTTGGCGAGAAGAAACACTACGATCATAAGGTGGATGTTTACAGCTTCGCTATTGTCTTCTGGGAGTTGCTTACCAACAAAACCCCATTCAAAGGAAAGAACAACATCTTTGTAGCTTATGCTGCCAGTAAAGTAAGCCAGCCACATTTTTCCCTTTCAGTGTTACTGTTTTCTATCTAGCTTATGCTGCCAGTAAAGTAAGCCAGCCACATTTTTCCCTTTCAGTGTCACTGTTTTCTATCTCTCCTTCGCCATGAGCATCCATATTCTCAAAATCCAAATCATTCTCAACTTCTTCATTGTTTCTCTGAGTTTGAGTATCTGATACACCAGCCGTAAGATTTTCAGGCTTTCTGATTTGGACAAACTTCAAAATAGAATTCTCGTCAGATTTCCTTAATAATTCTCTCCTTTTTTCTTCTCTTCTTCTTAAGTTTCCTGGCTTATGTGATCTTTTACCCAAAGGAGGAACCATTTTTTTCTGAAATTAATAACAAAGAACGATTAAGTCATATTCAAATACTTGCAGCAAATCGTTTATTGTGTTGATTATAAAGAAGTAGAATATACCAATTTGGTAAATTATGAAACAGTTTACCTGGATTGACTTCAATGACTTTGTGGAACAGAGACGTCGACGTGCAGTATATCAAATTGCGGCGATAAAAGTATAAGCGTTTTTAGAAAAAAATAGTATTAGAGAATTGTAAATTGTTAAGGTTTTCTAATTAATATTTGTGATTTCTTTTTCTTAAAAAAATATATGGGCTCACATTTTAGTACAGCATATACCTATTATATGTGGCCTATAAAATTTTGAAAAAAATAGTGGCCCTAAGCAGCCGCTTAGGTGGCCTGTGCTGTGGGCCGGCACTCGACCGTCTGTGGGAACACTCGACCACGATGATCGAATATCATGAAATCCGAGTTATCAGGTAAAGAAACCGCCTTGCAAAAAGTTTTGAAAGAAGCAACTTAATACACGATATTAACTTAATCTAGGACAAAGACCAATTCAAGAACCAGTGAAATAGAAGGACCAATTCTGTTTCACCTAACCTAAGGGTGTCTTAAAAGACCGAAGAGTAACGGAGGTGTGTGAAGGTATGCTCGAGGTCAGCATAGTAGTCTCATGTATGCATTGAGGAAAAATCTGCTTATTGTTGTTGTAAGCCATAGCTGTACTCAGATGTCTCCATAACTACCATGTACCAACCTTGGAGTGTCCCGCTTTTAGCTCTATTCCAAGTTAAACAAAGTACTAGTAAATAAACCCTTTAACTGAGGCATTATTGACAACATCTAGAGTACTAGTTGTGTTCAGTATAAAATCACGTGATTTAGAGTGATAAACACTGCTGAGATGTCAAGAGACATAAAGCTAATACTCTTGGAAACATCTCTATAACACAAGTTCCTTATATGAATCCGTGAACAAAAAACATCCATATACCTTTCGGTAAAAAGCAAATACACTCACTATGACTTGCAAATGCCCATGGTTAAGCTCAAGTACGCTGTAATTGGACCAATATCAACTAGAAGATATGACTCTTGGCTCTAATGCCAGCTACAATAAGGTACTAATAAAGAAAGAAAAATATCATCTTTTGACTGAGACAACAATGATGGACTATCGGAACATCTCTAGTTCCTTACGAATCCATGAATCTATGGAGATTCTCAGTTAATAGCAAATTTTTTACTGATTTGCAACAGAGAGCTTAAGAGAATGATGATGACAAACCTGTTTTCATCGGGAAACTTCCCAGGGAAAATCAAAGCAGCCCACATACAGAGAGCTAGCCCAATGATCAACTCCAGAACAACGTAATCATCCCATCATTTGGCATATCAAAACATAGTCCTGATGATAAATTCCAAGACAAGTGAAGAAAAGAGAAACCTTTATCGATACTCACATTCATCGGTGGTCGGGAAAACTCTTCCTCCATGATCTTCAACAATCCTCTATCTAAGGTTTTGATCAGAAAAAAACTTGATTTACAGTTTTGCCAAAAAAAACTTAGTTTTTCAGTTTTTATGAGAAAACATGATTTTTTGGTTTGGTGGAAAAAAACATGTTTTTCTGTTTTGTAACTTTAATGAAAAAAATTGTTGGTACATAAATTTAATTTTACGATTTTGACTAATAATTCGGATTTACTATTTTGGTGACAAAACATAGTTTCTATGAAAAGGAATACACATGATTTTTAAAGTCACAACGGCTATCGAAGAAAAAAACTTTTTATGGGTTTTGTGTCAATAATATTTTTTTATTTTTATTTTTGGTAACAGACGACAACTGTACTTCATTCTTAAGAAGAAGAGATCAATCATAAATGTAGATTTCTGGTTAAATTATGGGTGTTTTTTTTCTCGTCACATTTGATTATATTTAATTATAAAGGTTTAGAATTTAGATTTAGAACCTTTTGGTTTTCAGAATAAACAAAATTTGATTCACAAAAAACATATCCCTAAAGATTTCGCCTGCAATCTCAAGATTTTATCGATGATGAGAGATCAATTGGGATCGTCTCTGAAAATATATAGGCCGTCGTCTTTCATTTTTCGTGAAGTATGAGGACAGCATTAGGGTCCAAAATATGGGCTTTTTGTAAGAGAATAATATGGAGCCCATACATCGCAGGATAAAAACACAACTTAACTGAGTTTCGGAAGCAAACCAATAATAACGATATAAAACTTGTTTACAAACGAGAAAATAAAATTTCCAAAGGACGTAAAAACAATTTCTTTTTTTAATTTATCTAACATACAATTTAAAAGATTTTTTTGGACAGTTCATAATAATCCAAGTGAGTCAGGTATATGTTGTTTTTCATTTATGAAATGTTTGGAATCTGTCATCATAATATATTCCCTTTAATTTATTTGATCCCTAAATTATGCTTCCAAAAGTAACAGAAATCAGAGAGGTTGAGGAAATGTCACGCTCAGACGATGTAATTTTTGGTTTCTTCTGGTTTTGTGTTAAAAATAAACATTTGGGGATATTATAATTTAAAAATCCGAATAAAATAAGACAACCCACTCTTATTTCTAATAAATTTGTTATTGTATCTTGATTTCATCTAGAAGGTCAACTAGAAGTGATGTGACTTGAGGGAATACGATTAGAAGATCGTTAAATGATAAATTGTAAAAAAAAACTTGAAAAGGGATGATTCATCTCCACACCAAAATATAAACTTTGGGAGGATGGTAAAATATTTTTTTATTATAACACCGATTATTCAATATTACAATGCAAAACTAGTTGACAAAATACAAATACTAGAAGTCTAAAACACTAGTATAGTACTAGTATTACAAAACACTGATTATGCTATTACTACTATGGAAAACTAGTTGAGAAATATAAGTACTAAAACATTATTACGTTATAAACTGAAAACACGGATAATTCTAGTACAATGGAAAATACACTAATTTGTAAACGACACGCAGTTTCGATATCTAAAATTGGTAGAAAACGGTAGGCATTTTTAAGCACCACGTGCCAAGTCCCTGTCACGTTCCAAAAACTGTTCACATTCCTCGGTGATTCTGCAAAGCGACTTGTGCGACGAACCACCACCGTCGATGCTCAACGACATCTCCGCCGTATCTTTCAGCTTCCTCACCTTCCTTCTCATCTCCTCACCTTCCTTCTCCGCCATAACCTTCCTCACCATCGCCTCAATCTCCGATCTAGAAATGGCCTCCCCTAAATTTTCCGCTCGGACGGCGATTCCGAGTTCGTCGTTGAGCAACGCCGCGTTCATATTCTGCTCGGCGAAAAGCGGCCACGCGATCATCGGAACGCCGCTAACCACGCCTTCTAGCGTCGAATTCCAACCGCAATGGGTCAAAAACCCACCAACGGCGCGATGAGCCAAAACTTCAGCTTGTGGGGCCCATGATGGGACCACGAGACCTCTATCGCAAGTACGAGTCACGAACCCTTCCGGCAGATACTCCGGCGTGCTGTCTTTGGTTTCACCGCCGTTAACCGCTGAGAAATACTCGCTGGAAGACGAGCCATCGACCGGCGGTCGAACCACCCACACGAACCGTTGCTGACTCTGCTCGATCCCCCACGCCAACTCGGTTAGCTGTTTAGCCGTTAGAGAGCCGCCACTCCCGAAGGAGATGTAGAGAACCGTCTCATCTGGTTGTTTGTTTAACCATTCCAAAACCGGGTGATCGGTATTAGATCGTTCTACCGGTCTGCATAGCGGACCAATCGGGTAAACCGGTACACGAGCCACCCGGCCCAAAAGCTTCGGGTCTCGAAGGGATTTCAATGATTTGGGCTCCATCTCGTCCCATGTATTCACCAAAAGGCCATCTGCTTTTGGGTAAGCAAGACAGTGACGAACAAAATCCCGGTACAGCGGTTCATCCGGAACCAGGTATGCATCCATAGTGTCTTCGAAACGAACCGGTTCACATCCCGGTACATCGAGCGGCTTTCGTTGCACTGCGTGCTCGTCTTTGGTATCTTTGTCCAGAGTTGGATAATATATCGCAACTCCGAGATAACGCGCGTTTGAAGCGATTAGCACGTAAGTCAACATGTTGAATTCAGCTGCGAGACATAAGGCATCAGTGCCAAACAAGTCGATGATCAGGGCCGTTGGCTTTTGATGCATCGCAGCGATCTTTGATCGGAGGGCTGGTACGGCTTCACGCATAATGATTCCGATCTTGGTCACCACGTGGTCTGCGGGGTCCACTAAATCTGATATATCCGGTGACGGAAGATTGACGACGTCCACGACGGTTGAGTTTAAGAAATTGGACTGAGCGTAGTCTGCGTCGGTTTCGAGGACGAAGACGGTGACGCGGAAGCCGTGGTTGGCCGAGAGACGTTTTGCGAGCTCGACCACCGGGATGAGGTGGCCCATTCCGGGACTTGAAAACATGGCGGCGTGTGGTTTTGTGATCTGCATTCTTACTTTTTTTGTTCTTGTTGTTGTTGATGGGTTTCTATATGGTAGCTGCATTTGGGTTCTTTCTTTTATATCCAATTTTACTACTAAACAATAATATTTATAATTAATGTTCCAACCTTGACTATATACAATTATTTAACTGATTACCAAATTTTGTAATAAAAATCAGACGGCAGAAAACAATTTTTGTGTTCTTCTTCAAAACACTCTAAC